ACTTAAAACTTAACAAGGGTTGTGGAAAGTTGGGCCTAGATGTCTTAATTATGTCGGTTATAGGGATATCAATACTATCCTTCTTCTGAAGGATATTGCTAATTTTTATTTTTGAAAGTGTTTGCATTCGCTGAGCAGTTGTCAAAGCCATTAAAGTTATTAGCTTCTTTGTAATTTTCTCTAAGGTTAATGATTCCAGTGGGTACCACCTCTCTAGTGTTAATAACACTGGGGTTGGATCCCATGTGAATTTATATCTAGGAAATGATGGTCTCAGTTTGAATACACCCTTAAGGAACCTTCTTATGTTTTCATTGTCTTTTATATTATGACAGATTAAGGCCAATGCTGAGCGAATGCCACATATTGAAGAATAGGCTGCCCCATGAGAATACTGAATTTCCATAAATCTTAAAACATCTTGTGCTGAAGCTTCATATGGACAAATAGATTCTGCCATGCAAAATGTCCACCACTTGCCATATGTTGAACTGTATTGTTTCAGAGTTGCTAGCGAAAATGATGCTAGCATGGTATCTATAGTACATTCTGGAGCTCCAGACCTTAACAATGATGCCCTGATAACCTCCCTGCCACCAGGGTAAGGTTCTTCCAAATTGGGTGGCTGGTTCTGAAAGGAGACGTTAGTAAGTATTTATCTGGTTTAAATAGAATTGGTTCATCCACAAGCATTCTAATGAATAATGGGTACCATGGTTGTGCTTTCCATCTAGGTACAACTAAAATGCCCTCCCATTTTTCTGTCCTTATTTTATTGAGAGTTCTTGCTATCAAACTGAATGGTGGAAAGGCATAAAAAAAGAAATTCCATGGAATCGTAAAGGCATCTATGGCTATAGAGTTAGGATCATGTTTCCATGAAACAAACTTATCAACTTTGGCGTTATTGGTTGATGCAAACAAGTCTACTTCCGGTTTTCCCCATTTCTGTACAATATTCTCAAATTTTCTACTGTCCAGACTATATTCAGTTTCTATAGCTTTGAAGCGTGACTCTTTATCTGCCAAGGAATTATCTTTAGATTTAATGTAAGTGGCAAAAATGTGTAGATCTTTTAGTTCACACCAGTTCCAAATTTCTCGAGAAATCTTGCTCAATAGACCACATCTTACTCCACCCATTTTATTTATATATGATATTGCTACTTTATTGTCTACATGCAGTAAAATACTACATGAAGATAATTCTTTGGCAAAACATTTTAATGAATAGAAAACTGCCTTGAGCTCTAGAATATTGATGTGTAACTTAATTTCTTCACTTGTCCAAAATCCATGTGTGCTGATATCTGCACAAACTGCACCCCATCCAGATGGTGATGCATCTGAAAAGATCTCTAAGACAAACTTTTTATTTACTTCCAAGGATTGACTAGCTGACATAATGTTTCTCAACCACCACCTCAATTCATTTCTACATTTTTCTCTTATCTTCATTATTTTATCATAATTATTATTTTTATACAAGGCTATTGTCTTTTCTTTCTCCAAAAGCTTTGTGTGTACCCAACCGTACTTAACAGCTGGTGAAATTGAGGTCAAATATCCTATTACTTTTGCAAACACCCGGATTTTACAAGCAGGTTTATTCATGATATAATCAATCTCCTCAACAATCTTTTGTTTCTTTTCTTCTGAAATGGAAATTGACATATTTCTGGAGTTGTAAATGAACCCTAGAAACTTACAAGACTGACTTGGGATAAGGCAACTCTTTTTATAATTTATAATAAACCCCAGTGATTCTAAAAATTTTAGAGTATTGATTGTTTTTCTGTGGCTGTTTTCATAAGAATCTTCAATGATCAATATATCATCCAGATAATTTATGCATAAAAGGCCATCAGACCGCAATGCCTGCATAACAGGCTTGAAAAGCTTTGTATATACATATGGGGCTGAGGAAAGGCCAAACGGCAAGCAGGAAAATTCGTATACTTTGTTATCAAAACTAAATCTCAGGTACTTTCTGTAATATATATCAATTGGTACCAGGAAATATGCGTCCTTAAGGTCAATTGAGGTTAAGTAACATTCTTTAAAAATTAAATTGTGAACTGTCTTATAATTTTCTAATTTGAAATGTTCTAGTATTATGAACCTATTCAAGTTCTTTAAATTAAGAACAAACCTATACTTTTTATTTGGTTTTGAAATCAAAAAGTAAGGTGACAAGAATTGGTCCTTAACTGGAACACATTCTTGTATGGCACTAATGGTAATTAGTTTTTTAATCTCCAAGGCCATAAGCCTATGGTTAGTTGCTGATAATGGTAAGTTTTTTGGAACCCTCAATTGAGTGGGTCTCCTATTAAAAGGTATTTTATAACCAGAGATCCACCCTAATACAACTGGATTAGTTGTCACCTTTGACCATTCTAGGATGAATTGACCAAGTCTGCCTGCATACTCTACCTCTACTGCCGAGGCTGATACTGCTGACGAGTCTGATACTGCTGACGAGGCTGATACTGCTGACGAGGCTGATACTGTTGATAGTCTTGGTGTGATCTTCTCCTGCTCCCATCTCTTCCCCCTTCCTTCTTTTTTCCTTTCATTTTCTGCTTGTAGTTGCTGCGCTTGTAGTTTAAATAATTCTTAGTACTGGTGCTAGGTGCAACTTTCAATCCAATTTTCATCTTTTCAGCCTCCTGTAGCTGCTTAATGCCATTACTTAAATCATTTCCAAATAAATGAACATCAATTTCACTAGAGTTCAATAATTTGTGTAATTTGAAGTCAACTGCAGGAATTATGCCCATTCTGCGATGACCTGATAATCTATAATGAACTCTGGTAAATATCTTAGATGCATCTGAGAGTGTTGACAATAATTCCCTCTTTTCCAAAAACTCCATGGCCATTATTTGGTTGAAAGCCTCACCCAAAATACTCAAACCCAAACCTAATTGGTCCTGTAATTTACTGGTGAAAATATCTTGTTTGAGTGATCGTTCAGAGAGCACTGCCTGAATCTCTGGATTCAGAATGGGGGCTTTCAAATGAGGGCAATTTGTGGAAAAATTCCAACGTTCCAAAAGTTTTGTTTCTTGGTCCTTGTCAAACCCTGCCTTTAAATAACTTGTCCACCTTGAAACCAGCGGCGGAGGCAAAGCCTTCCCTTCTACTAGTTGTTTGGTAGGGTCCGTCCCTAACACATCATCCATGTCATCCATGGGGGCTATGTTTTCATCCATGGGTGTTGTATTTTGTATTTCTCCCAGGGGTGACCTTGGGTGCCATTCCTCCACTGACCTCTCTGAGTCACTACAGGAGCTCTCAGATTCTGAGCCTGTCAAAAACAAAAATTGAAATATTAGAATTCAATAATGATTCTCTACTATTTTCTGTTGTTCTCATATATGGACAGTGGTCTGTATAGAGCTGGATTGTAATGCAAAGCAGGCTGAGCTCTAATGATCATGATTATATATAAAAAGAATCATAACCCAATCATGTCCACTGCAAAGCAGGGACGTTGATTGTTCAAGTGTTCATTGGGTACCTATACTCCATACCCATACACAACATCAATTCCACTGCAAAACAGGGATGATGTTGATTGTTTCAGGTGTTCATTGGATATTCATTGGGTCTATCACATACCCATGTACAACATCGATTCCACTGCAAAACAGGGATGATGATTGTTTCACCTGACTTATATCATTAGTTCCATCGCAAACGAGGACTAGATGATATGAATTATTTTAGCGGCTACATGTGGTAATCTATGGCGTCATTGTGGCGTGGTCTTCATAACCTACAACAATTCGTTTTCATGATCAACTTACTTGACGATCCTAGTCGTTCTAGTTTGGATTCCAATTTCCTGAACTTTTCTTTAAGTTTGATATATTCCTTTGACTTCCTCTTCGGCATATTTTTTCCGTTTTAAAGTTATAATTATCGAACGCATGTACTCTTCCGTCGACATACAATTTCGCAATGAGGTGACAGATGACAGTAACGACGGGACACCGAGATGCAGAGGCGCGTTTCTTTTGAATGTACTGTATGATTCTTCGACAGCAATGGAGCACACTACACTCGTGACCTACTCGAAGGAACCATGAAGTATAATTTCTGCTAGGTTGGTACAAAAGGAAAATCTTGTCTAGCGACACCTCCCAGAATTCAACTGGTCAGTACTGTCAGTAGATCCACTGACTTTGCAGAAAAGCTGTGTTCTGAAATATAAAATCAAAAATACAGTGCTGTAATTCGGAACACGTTTTCAAGTATTCAGCAGCAGTTGATCAGCTGGTGAAATTTGTCAGTTGTCATTGATCTGACAGATGCTCCTGCTTGAGCTAAATAAACGCATTTTCTGATATCAAAATGATATTATTATTGTATTATTGATAAGCCCTGACATGTTTGAAAAACAACGGAAATGAATGTGTCATTCCTTTCCCTTCAAAAATAATGACAGTCCACTGAAGCCACACTACCTTTTGATAGTCAGCAATTTCAGCAGAATGTTGAGTCGAAATATTTGGAATGAATAGTTTATCTGCTCACGAGTATCTGTCAATTTTTTTTATTTCGGAATGAAAATTCTGCAGATTCAGTACTGTCAGTTGAATTCGGAATATAGCCTTAACGTCACACTCGTCACAGTTCACAGTCCGACTATATGAGTCCGACTTCCGAGTCCGTATCACTTCCGTAGTCAGTGTTACCACTGTTACCAGACGTCCCACGTCTAGTGACGTAATTCAAGGCTATTTAACTCTTTACTCTATAGATAGAAGTTAATAGACCTTGGACGAAATTGACGTAAGATAAATGATAAAAACAAAAATCAAAAAGGTGTTGTTTTGTTAATCTGATTCAGAAATTCAGAATTCAGATTGTTTGATTATCAATAATAATTGAAGCCTTCCAAAACCATTATAGATAATTTCATTAAAAATACTATATCAGAGACTGATGAAAAGTGAAGGCAAACGTTTCCAAATGAAAGAATTCTTACTATGGAGTCTTTGGATATTTCTCATTTAGCAGATGCCTTACGCCCAGTATCAAGGGATATTTGTAGTGGTAAAGGCAAATTATGCTTATCTGCAAACTATCTTGGCAAATTGTGGAGTATAATGGAAACCTTCACATCTCCAGATGTGAAATCTTTTCACATTGTACAAGGGGATCAAACAAGAAATAATATCATCAGAGATATGCAGTTCCTTGTAGAACTTGTTGAAAATACTGTCAACCTAAGAATAATACCAGATTTGGAAGATAATTACAATGATTGTCTCAATATTGGGCGATTCCACAATATCAAAGTTTTAGAAATTTACAAACTGAACATCAACATTGTTTTGGGCATACAGAAACTCAGATCACAAGTCCAGGAGCTGTCATGTTGCAAAAGTATCCAATCTATCAGTGATATAATCAAGAAATGTGGAGCTGACAATAGTGAGGCATATAATTGGAATGAATTACGCATAGCAAACTTTGCCCAGAATAGCCTTGTTGAACTAGATAATAGTTTTGAATATACTTTATCTTTGAATACTTTGAACCTGAGTCATAACAACCTCACCAAATTGAGCTTCTTGAACCAGCTTCCAAATTTGAAACAATTGAATCTAGCTTACAATAAACTAGAAGCCCTGCCCAATTTCAAAGGGCCAATAACCAGTAGACTGCAAGTCCTAATCCTCAATAATAACTTTATTGAAGATCTTGCAGGTCTTTGCACCCTTTCAAATATTTCACAACTGGACATTGGTCATAACTGTTTATTGGAACATGGTTCCTTATTTTCACTTTCTCATCTTGTTTCTCTCCAGTGGCTCAACTTACAGGGTAATCCTATAAGTTTTCATCCTCAACATCGAAATCTCACTAGTAGTTATTTAAATAAGAACACTTCAACAGTAAAATTCTCTTTGAATGGATTGGCCCTTAATAAAGGAGAAAAGAACCTCACAGGGTCTTTCCATCCTATGACCCAAAAAATGCATATATTATCTACATCCAATACTTCTTTAGACTCTTCTTCAGAATCCTTTCAAGAAAAGCCACGCCGAATCAGGAATGTGATAATTGAGGATGAGAATGTCATTAAACAACTGGAACCTGTTCATATACATTCCATATCAACTCAACACTTAGAGATAAAGAAACAATTAGAGCAACTGAGAAGAGAACATGGGGAATCTTGGTTGTACAAGCACTCTGGGTTAATTGTACAAGATGTACTAGGCTTTGAAAGTACAGCTATACAATCATCAACACCTTATGAGACAGCCATTAATACTTTGTATTCACCAAATCTTGATGACTTGAACACAACAGAGTTGAATCATTCAGAACAGTCCAATGCAGAAGTCTTTATGACTGCCCAAGATATCATACTGGACAACTCTTCACCTGATAAAGATGTTTCAGACACATCTGATAGTGAAGATGTTTTCTTAGGTGGTGAGGAAAGTTTGTTTTTGGCAGTAAACAAATCAGACAATACTGAGGTGTTTGTGGTAGTGACAGACTCATACATTTCAGAACGAGATTGCACCACTAGCAGAGAAAAATCCAGGTGGCATATAAATACCATAATATCTTGTAAAAAAGATGAAAGCAATAATGTACAGCTGGATTTTGATACTTTGAGAAGAGATAGAAAACAGAGAGTGTATGGACTAGAAGCAACTGAAATTGATGGATTTTTCAACATACTCAAAGACAAAATGAATACATATCAAAGTAATGAAGATGAGAAGGTATCTTATCAGTGCATGAAGTGCTTTCAAGATTTCCAAATGGAAAAAAGCCAACTTCTGAAGATAAACTTGACATGTCCTAAATGTGACAGTAATTTGATAGTAGAAAACATGTAGATAAAAGAATAATTATTAACTGTATTGGTTCTTGTGAATATTAAGTTACAATAGGAACATTTCAGATTGTTTCAGATATAGAATTTTCATTATGATTTAGTTTTACAGAGTCTCCAACAATGATGAAGAGCAATGTGACAAATTTTTATGTGACAGCCAAGAATTTATTCCTATCTGTTCCTATCAATTTAACATGTCATTGTGTGCATATTGTGTGAATGACAAAGAGATAATGACAAGTTGCCACACATGGTCACATAACACCTGGCATAACACTCAATCATTGTTGAAGACCCCTTATCTGGACTACTCATCTTTCAAAGGACTCAAACACTGTACATATTCCAGAGGAGGTTGAAACAATTATCACAAAATACATATACCTACCTATATTCTGAAAGTCAACATTTTTACCTGTAATAGAGGCAGTCATCTGCTTTGATGATGAAACCATTCACCCTGAATAATTTTCAACAGTGATATTTTTCTCAATACAGGGTGTTTCAAAATTTCCTTACAAGCAATATGTTGTTCATTAATTTAAAAGATGAACATTTTGAATTGACTAGTCTGTTACTTGATGGAAATCTATAGTATAATGTAAAAACTTGATTAAATGCTTAATTACAAGACATGTTTCCCTAACACAGTAGCTTTTTCAGGTGAAATACTGGAACAATAAACTAAACCTACATTGACTCGCCTAACTTTTATATCATACTTTCCCAACCTAAAGGATCAAAAAACCTGTGGAAAGGTATAATAAACCTTCATTTTCGGAAGAGGGGAATATATCTACATTTAATTAAAGTAGATACAGTGCCAGCTTTCTGAAAATGAAGATTTATCATCATACCTTCCCACAGGTATCTTAATCCTTTAGGTCGGGAAAGTAGGAATTAAAAGTTGGCGAGTCAATGTTAGTTTAGTTTATTGTACTATAGTATTTCACCTGAAGAAGCCACTTTGTGGGCGAAACATGTTCTGTAATTAAGAATTGGAAATCTTATCGTTTTTACATTCAAAAGATGAAGAATTGAAGAAATAACCTAGGTTGGATTGCATCAAAGTCTTTTCTATTGCACTCTTGAAACCTTATTATTCCTCTTTACAAACCTAAAATATGCAACCTAAACTTAAATACCTTCACAATCTCAACTGATGCTTCCTAACCAGTAACTTCATATGAGTTGAATTCTCACTTTTGCACCATGTCAAAAGTATTTATTATTCACCCTGTGTATTATAATATGATTAGACTATCCGTGACTTCGATGCATGTATTAGCTATGCACGCAGCTACCAGCAGACTCGAGCACACATCATGTCCGTTTTCATGCCGTTTGTATACTTTGAGCGTAGAACCATTGTCTGGTCGAACATATACATTATAGGTATATATACACTGATGATTCTGCCGGTCTTATGGTACGCGGTGACCGTGACGCGACGTTGCCGTTCTACTCCCACCCCAAAAAATGCTCAACGGGCCGTTATCACGTCAAATTCTGGGAATGATCTCTTGAGAGTTGTGAAGTGAAAAAGGGTTTCAGTGATGCAATAAAAAAGACTTGTCCTAATAGGTTTTGGTTGATGTTTTCCATCTTTTGAAGTCCAAAATATCACTCAAGAAATTTCTGGGGAACATGTAATGTCAATATCCATCAATTACTATAAAAAATGCCCAAAGTAGAGGTAGTTGATTTTGTTTTCACCTTGCCCTTATTATTGTAATATTATTTGGTACCATTGTCTGATGATGGCCGTAGTGCGGAAACCGGTAACTTTTTAAAGAAGTTTTTTATATAAAGTGTGGTCGACCGACTATGTGTTTTCTTTTATTTTTCTTTCGAAATTACATTGGACCACTTTGAGATATGGATGATATACTATTATAGTTTGAGTTGCTATTCATGATTGAATAAACGATCATCTAGGTTTCAAGTAGGATAGAATTAACATTGAAGAAAACTAAGCAGAAGAAGTAAAGTTACTAATAATTAGATTATATCTAATATCTTTTTAATGATAATTATGTTCTATAGGAATATTAAAATAAAGACAAAAATAAAGGCTGTGAAAGATGATCATCAGAATTACCGATTGATACATTGTATTATTTCTCGAGTTATATTTTTAGTATAATTATTAGAATTAGGTGTGGTTAATTTTGAAACTATTTTTCATTCATAAAGATACTTTGGCTTGTTTATTTGAACGGATTGAAGTTCCTTCTCAAAAATGACATAAAAAACCATTTGGCTATCCAATTACTGAATGGAAACAAAATGTCACACAAATAATTTAATGAGTAAATAAAAGAGTACATTGTACAATTTTAAAAATAGACAAAATCCAATATTTGCTTATATTGTTCACTATCTTGTATATTATTATTAATATTAATTTCATTACTAATAATAATTATTGTTAACCTCGAAGAAAAGGACACTTTCCTCATTCAAGTTTATTATTGAAGATAAACAAAATATAGTTGTCACAAAAAATATTTTTGTCATTTCAAAATATCATTTTCATAAAATATGCCCTCGCATTAGAAAAAATACTCATTCAGAATCCGTGGCATCATTAGTCATGGAAGGAAGTGGGGTAATAGGGAGGGGGGGTCATTTGCAAACTAAACAGTATATGTGGTTATCAAATTGTTGATGGTTCAAAAGTTATAGATATTTTCTGAAGAATGTGACCCATCTGAGAGAAAAAATCACAGATGTGACATATAGTTTTATTGTGATAAATGTTTTTTATAGAAATAGAAATAGAAATAAAGAACTTTGGAACCATCAACAATTGGATAACCACATTTTATATGGTTAGTTTGATTGAAAATGACCCCTCCCCCCCTACCACCCCACTTCTTTTGATCCATTACTTATGGGACACCCTGTATAACGAATGAAACAATTTGAGAAATTAAAAAAAAACTGAATAGTTTGAAGTAATCAAACAGCTTGAATACTTAATAGATTATAATATAAAGTAATCAAAATTAATTTACAATTACAAACTGAATTAGGTACTGAAATCATTGTTCAATTTATCAAAGACCCTATTTTTGATGACAGCTGCATGAAAAGAGAAGAATAAATACCAGGGGTTGATAATATTGTTTTTGACTCAAAGACGTGTTCTCAAACTGATTTACTACTGAGCTGTTGTGTTTGTGAGATGCAACATACATATAATCTAAACAAAATCAATCACAGTGCTCTGTATGTCATGTGGTGGAAGCTACAAAAATTTGGGCACTTGGAAACAATCGAAATACTTAATACTCAACACTTAGACGGCTGATCCACAAGATCAATCAGTATGTTTTAACATAGTTTCACATGAAATAATCAAAATTTTCGAAAATTTTACACACGGTCATTTGTTCTTAGTGAATTGATAGATGCTCTGAAAATATATTTTTGAAGAGCAACAGAACTTCCAAAGTCTACTAGTGGAAAATAATATCAATTATTATATAAACTGATCACACAAATCAATCAAGTCTAACCGAAGCAAAAAACCAGTACTTGGATGAATGGAAAAAAATTACAGAAGTCATGTTAACTATAATTTATACATTATGTAACGTCAAGTCACAATTTTTTATGCATATGCCAACATTATGGAACTTCCAGAAGTATTTGAAAATTTGTGGCTTCTGATTGAACATCATAATAAATATATTTTTCTTGAATAATTTCATTTGCAGTTTTGGTCATTTCGGAAAATAGTTCAAAATCCAAAATCCAAGTGCATTTATAGATGAAAACTGAGAATTTCTGATTCGGAATTGTCTATAATGGGAGAGGATATGCACTATTGCCACCAATATCTGTTCATCCACTTTATAATATGATAATCTAGGCAGAGATGGCAGATGGCACACAAAATGTCTGTACAGATAATATATAATTTTTGTATTTTTTCTGTTGAACTGATGTAGTACATTATTGGAAGGCCAAATTGACAATAGTATTCAAGAACAGGAAATATGAAACTAGGCTGTGAAGTTCAAGGAAAGAATGGAAATTGTTAGCTCATTAAAGACCATTGAATTTACAAAATAGGTACTACATATCTGCCTCGCTATGCACTTTCTACTTCTACTTTTTTGACAACAGGAGGAGGAATATTGTCAATTTAACAAGATAAGCACAGGATACAGGATGTATCATTTTCGAATGGTCCATATCAAAATTTCATATGTCACTGAACAATAAACACAAATAAATGGGTTAATCTCTGCAGGGTTCTCTGAAATTGTTGAAGTAGTTCAAATTTCATAAATATTTTTGGTAATTGGAAATCATGATTCACAATTATTCATCTTAAAAAAATTAAGTGAATAGCAAACCTGGTAGGTACCTATTCAGAGATAACTATGTTTTTCAAGGAAACAAGGTAAAAAATCCATGAAGCAAACCCATCAAAATATCTTATTTTGATTCTGTTACTGTGCGTATCAATTAGAAAATGATTTGATTGCCCTCTTTCCGCGCCAACAGCAGCTGTTAATTAACCACAAACTTTAAACAATAATCGTTTACATACCTAAACTCTAAAATATTTCTATTTCACAACTGATTTGCTATACATCAACTACGATCATGAATCATATTTTTATATGTGAACGACCTCGTGAAATCCAAAATTTGGTGATGTAGACATACTTTTTCGAGCACCGAAAGTCTCAAAAAAGTTTAGTGTGGAGGAGCGTAATTGATAGTATATTGTTTAACAAGCACGGAATGATAGTGGTTTCCCACGAGAATTAAGTTGAGCAGCATGAGCCTGCAATCATCCGAGTGGGAAATTCGCATTCTGTGCAAGTTATACACTTTAATTTTTCTACGGCTGTAACAAATAACAGTGACATTTTTTATTACTCCGTCTTGTAGCCATCTGATATCCTCTCAAGTAATGCTCATCTGTTAGACAGAGCTGTCATTGCTTGAAATTTGACATTCCCTGGGAGACGAGATTTTCTGGAATAGTAACATGCACAATGGAGTCATTGTGATATCAGATACGGGAAAAAAATTGATGACAAACAAAGTACTCATTGATGTATCGAACACATAAAACAAGAGCAATTTTGTATTATAGCCGTAGAAAAAAAATGGTGGCATTGAAAGTATCGGACCCCTGTGTAGACGGAAGTTCTTGAACTGAGGGTGTTCAAGTCTTTATTTGACGGATGCCAGTTTGCTGATTATTTTGTTGTTGAATTGAACAGATCCCATGCTTTCATCATCAAGATTATATCCATTTGATTATACAGGGTGGTCCACGGTGGATGACCTATTAGAAGTATCTGGAGAACGAAAAGACAGAACATTCTGAAAATTGGGATGCTTTGATAATTGAACATTCTCTATCCCACTAGAATATTTTCATCGATACAGTGTTGCCACTTCTATAAGAAACAACTAGCAACTTCGCTATTTTGAATGGAGCACCCTGTATTCTATTGCATTATTAGATTCTTCCTGAAGAGCTGATTTCATCAATGTATCACACTTGGGGTCTAGCAGGAATGATTACAGAGATATAGGTGTTCAAGAGATTTTTTAATTTCAGTTTTTTTTGTGTTGAAACTATTCATTATCGATCAAAACGACTAACATATTCCTATCTTAACTTTTGATTCACTAACTACTGGAATTCAATTGGAACAAATACAGGGTGCTTCAAGATTCAGAATTCTGATCATAAAAATGCAATAAAATACAGGATGCTCCATTTAAAATAACGAAGTTGCTAGTTGTTTCTGATAGAAGTGGCAACACTGTATTGATGAAAATATTTTAGACGGATAGAAAATGTTCAATTATCGAAGAATCCCAATTTTCGTTCTCCAGATACTTCTAATAGGCCATCCACTGTGGATCACCCTGTATAAGCTCCTCCGCAATTGGCGTGCTCAACAGTTACCCGATTTTAAACCAACCATTCTTTGACAGCAGTTGTTAGACTGATATAAAATCAAAACACACTCATCCGTTTGTTGTTTTTGTAAGTGAAAAAATGACATTGTTGCATAGGAATGTAGAATACAGGGTTTATCATAATTGAAAGTACACAGTACAACTTCAGATTTCTTGCGTGAAAATATAGCCATTAGGCCACACTTAGCTCAGTTGAAAAGTTAATTATAATCGAGATCCAAGTGAATTTTCAACTCATTTTTGAACCAACAGTTTCACATGAAAACTGTGGAAGCCTGGGTACATAAAAATGAGGGTAACTTTTTCTAGCACCTTAGTGTATTTACTTTTAAATTGTGAATATCAATTTCATCCCCTTGAATTTTGATTTGCAAATATGAAATTTTTCAAAATATGATGTGATTTGTGAGCATACTGCCAATGAGACCCAGAATCTCGATTCTGATTATCTTTCCAACTTGGCTAAGTGTTGACAACTCACAATATTTTCTCCATAAGAATCTGCAATTTAAATGTGTACCATTAGTTATGGTATATACCAATGTATAAGGGCATTGGAGGGATATCATAAAATTTTGATGAGCAAACATTTATTTTTCCCATCATTTCTTCATGAATAGTTCCAACACAGTATAGAGCTCTAATTAGAGCTCTATACTGTGGTTCCAAGTTGAATCTCACCATCTTTTGTTATGTTCATAATAATTATTGTATACAGACTGACTGACAGACAATAGAAATGATTTTCTCAAATACTATGAAGGCACTAATATTTTTTTCCAATGTCAACATCAGCGACTTTCGAACTTTATTACAAATGGTACCATTTATGTTCAGTTGAAAATTTTTATTCTGAATTCATTCATGCGTCACAAGTTGCCTTTCACTCAAAATTAATAAGCAAGAAAAAAATAGACTAAAAGGGTGGTATGTTTCATCTATCAGAAGCAATCAAGAAAAATACATATTGAATTAAAAAATTAGAATAAAATTTGATAGTCACTGACATTAGAGCTGGAATTGAAAGTAAAGTTTATTAACTAAAGCTTCATCCTAGTATTTCAGACATCATTTCATTCAAAGTTTTGTTCATCATTATCAGACGGTGAATGACGGCGCTATGACTTGAGACATTTTTTGTCAGCCCCTATAAAACTGATGGATTATTCTCAATCAAATTGAAAATAAAGAAATAGGTTCATTGGATTCATTGTTATGTATTTAACTCCCCGTTTCTGAAGGAAATGCTCCTCGATTTTGTCAAGTCATTTTTTTATTGTTACATGTTTACCTAGGACTTATTTACCAATAAAGCAAGCTAGTAAGATATGAATGTATTGGGACTTGGAGCGTTAATATACTAGTTTAGTCCACCTTTTCCACTCGACACCTAACTAAGCTAATTAGTGGACGTTCAGGCCTCACGAGTCGAAAAATCGCCCCTAGATTTTGATGTTGCGTTTGGCGCGAATCTTGGTGAAACGCCTCGTTTTCTTCTTGGGTTGATCCTCCTTGGACCCCTCCGTCGCCATTTTCCTCTTACCCTTGTTGCTGATCGAGTCCGCAGACGGACCAGGCTGGTCCACCAGAAGAGCGGCTACCTCATTTTCTGGGACCACCGAGAGGGACACCTTGAAGGAGTCCGAATGTTTCGAGTCGGCCTCGACTCCATGGCTGGGCGAGTCGGAACCGAGTGGGGGTGGTAGTTCTGGTAGTGGATCCACCCCTGTATTCAGAAATATTTCTGAAGGATATGGTCAACATTTATTATGTTCAGGAAAGGAATATCCTCAGATAAATTATGAACATGGAGAAATTGATATATACAGTGTGTCCACCTTAAGGACTTACCACCCCTGTAAAATCGTTATTATCTGTCCGATTTCGAAAAACTTTTTTTTGTTGGATAGGTATTTGAAATGTCCATTCAACAAGAGAATGATTTTATTCTTGGACTGTTATCATGGCCAACTGCGACCAGCTTTATTGACCTATATTTCAGAAAGTACTATTAGGGATTTTTTTTCGAAAAAAATGATGGAGGATTCTGAATTACAATGTTTTTCGAAATCGGTCAGATAATAACGATTTTACAGGGGTGGTAAGTCCTTAAGGTGGGCACACTGTATATGTATATACAGGGTGTAAATTTGAAAACTTTCAATGCGAATATCTCGCGAAATAAAAAAGTTAGAAAAACGCCGCTTGGCAAAAATGCTAAAGAGTTAAGGGGAACTAAAACCACCATATTTCAGTGAAGGGATGAGTCACCCTGTCAGCGCAACACACCCCAACTTTGAAATGTCAAATGGCACTACCTCTTTTGTGATACCTCAAATGAACGGTCTCAGTCAGTAGTATACACCTGTACAAGACTTTTTTTCCACCCACTACAGGGTGTACGAAAAACATTAATTCGTGGGTCTAAATTTGAAAACTTTCAATGCGAATATCTCGCTAAATGAAACAGTTAGGAAAACGCCGTTTGGCACGAATGCTACAGAGTTAGGGAGAATTAGAACCACCATACTTCAGTAAAGGGATGAGTCACCCCGTCGGCGCGACACACTCCATCTTTGAAATGTCAAATGGCACTACCTCTTTTGTGATACCTCAAATGAACGGTCTCAGTCAGTAGCATTCACCTGTACAAGACTTATTTTCCACCTACTACAGGGTGAACGGAAAACATAAAGTCGAATAAAATAAAATGCAGAATGCCGATATATTCCAAGAGATGTGTTCCAAAATGTTAGAATAACATTTGAACATCGATTATACTATAGCTTACAACAGAATGGAATGCATTTTGAACATCTGATCAAATAAAATATCCTTTTAACACCATTCATTCCATTTTATTCGACTTTATATTTTTCGTACACCCTGTAGTGGGTGGAAAAAAAGTCTTGTACAGGTGAATACTACTGACTGAGACTGTTCATTTGAGGCATCACAAAAAAGGTAGTGCCATTTGACATTTCAAAGTTGGGGTGTGTCGCGCCGACGGGGTGACTCATCCCTTGACCGAAATATGGTGGTTCTAGTTCCCCTTAACTCTTTAGCATTTTTGCCAAACGGCGTTTTTTTAACTTTTTTCTTTCGCGAGATATTCGCATTGAAAGTTTTCAAATTTACACCCTGTATAAAAACATACATTGAGAATTCACAGTCTCTATGTGATGAAAATATCAACTCTTTCTTGGTTTATTCGAAAGAAAACAACTACTTTCCTGGCAATATGCCACGACGAACATTGAATTATATCTATTGTTAGCAACGTCGCAGATTCTGCAAAATCGGGAAGAACGAGCCGGTATCAGTCACGAGATACTGGATACAATCATCGCAATCCAGTTTGTCATCGATGCCTGAGTCAAACGCCCCATCGTTAATATTAATGTTTTGTTTCATTATACCGGGTGACACAGGTTATCGGGCCACCCCTGTAACTTCTGCATTCGTCAACGGATTTTTCTGAAATTCGGTACAGTTATATAAGCAACTATTTCGGATTTGATCACATTACAATCCAATATGGCGGAGTTCCGGTTTTTCTGGAAATGCCAGCAATTTTGTTTTTTCAAATGAAACACCCTGTATATTTTTACATATTCAAGTTCAACAGGTCGAAACAAGTGCAATCTCGATGTCAAATGTCATTTATTCCACAACCTATACCTAGTTGAAAAATTATTCTAACTGCAAGGAAATTCATAAACTAGTTGTTGATTTTTGAATGTATACAATTTGTTACTGCACCGAAAAACAAAAATCATATGTCATTTTGTTCCTTAATGTATGTTCTAGAGAGACGGGTAGGTGGCCCATAGGGGTTCCATTTGAAAAAAAATAATTTTTGATCAAAAAGTGATGTGGCTGAATTGATTGCTGGATAAGTGACACAAAAAATGATTTTTCAGAAAAAATATGTTCTTCTGTTATGTGGGACTCATTGTGAATAGTCTTGACCACATCTCATTTATCCACGAGGAAAATGAAAAAACAATTTTAATTTGAATTTTTTCGAAAAAATGACATTTGAAATAGAGATTGCACTTGTTTCCACCTGTTGAACTTGAATATGTAAAAATATACAGGGTGTTTCATTTGAAAAAACAAAGTTGCTGGCATTTCCAGAAATACCGGAAGTCCGCCATATAGGATTGTAATGTGATCAAATCCGAAATAATTGCTTATATAACTGTACCGAATTTCAGAAAAATCCGTTGACGAATGCAGAAGTTACAGGGGTGGCCCGATACCCTGTGTCACCCGGTATGATGTACTTGTCTTATTGTCGGCGTATTAATTACATTATTCGGGTTGAAAAGTTTCATCTTTTCTTTAACATCATCGCATTAATACTACCTTTGATTGTATCTTTCGGGTTTTTGTGCAGTTACGAGGGTGAATAAGATGGCAGCCACTTCCCAGGCAATTTTTTTGGGAACTGATAAAGGCTTTGCAATCACAAGGTTCACATTCCAGTACAGAGCAGGTAGATTTGCCGTATTTTCGGTCTGAGCACGCCTGAGGTAATCGGTTGGACAGACATTCAAACTCTAGTGAGAGTTTGTGGTTTCTTATTATACGGGGCGAAACATTGGTTCGAGAGGTGCGCTCCTGATACTCGGGATTGGAAAACTTTTTGTGAAGACTTTGTTGAGGCTTTTCCGCCGAAAAGAAATTTTGGATGTTTATTAGAATCAGCTTGTACTTTTACTAGTTCTCCTGTGAATACTTATGAATCATATGTGCGAATGTGCATAGCAAACTGGTTGGAAGCCGATTTAGTTGAATTAACTGTTTATTGAATTTCTGAACTTGATGTGCGAGATGCCGCGTCCAATCGTAAATGTAAAACCATTCCTGCACTTTTGATAATTCCTTTCGTTATTCATAAAACAACATTCTGAGGAACAGAAGCCTCTAAATGAGTATATGTCTTGTAAGAGACGTTACCAAAATGAAGATGTACCGAGTTCGACGCGAAAACGAAAGAAACTTATGTTGATGTGCCAGACCAATGACGGCTAGATATCTAGACTGTCTGACGGGTTATACATAACTGTCTAATCACCTAGCTACCGTCAATGATGGATGTAGAGGTTTATTTCATCAATGATGTAAGATATGGTATAATTACTGATGCGTTTTTGTTTCAGAAATTTTACTTGACCTCTCGAGAACAGCGAGAGCAATGGTTCCGTCGATCTTCTAATAGATGGCGACATTGCACAATTATGACATCTGTCAGTTCGAAAATTGTCGCAGATTTTTCGAATTGAGAATCAAAATAAATTAAATTTCATAGTATGCCATCAGTGTGTCATCTTTTTTTCCTAACGCAGATGTATTCCAATATATTTTGAATATACCTTACTTATATGGTCAGAATTTGTTGCATCAATTCAAAAAATACCCTACTCCCCCCCCTGAATGAAATCCTGGCTACGCCCATGCGAGTCTCACCTAATACTTCAGGATGAACGCCCTGATTGATGAGCGCCTGCAGCTCATCAGGCTGGGCCAGAATGGCATTGCCGCAGGTCTGGCAGAAAGGAGGATTGGCCGGGGATCTGCACCTCCAGTATTGCAATTCTGTCTTGCACTTGTTCAGCTCTTGCAGCAGGGTACCTGAAGGAATTTGCATTTCAATTTATATCAAAGAGAGACAGTTTTATTTATAATCTATTCATAATACCTGGGGACATAGACTCATGGTGCACCTCTCTTTCCTCCTTTGTTTTTTTGCTGTACAGGGTGTTTCATAATATATGTGCAGTACTTCAGGATATGATAGTTTGTGTCCAAGAATATGGAAAAAAGTTTCTATTAACTAACCCTCTGCAATGCACCATTTTCGAGATATTTAAAAAAAAAGTCGTTCTTTGCGGATATCTCTGGAAGTGAGTGTTTCAACTACAGTTTTGAGCCGTCCATTTGAACAGCCAATGTTTTCTACACAGAAAAGAAACTCTTGTTCATAAGCTCCAGAGATGACCGTTTTCGAGAAAATTCAACTTTTATGTTGGATATCATGGTAAATTTTTTGTTGAATTTTTTTTTTCAAATTTTACAACATCTATACCTATGTCATTACATTCTGTTATTTCGTATTCTATTATCCATTTCATTTATTGCCTCAACTTCGGAAACACCCATATACTTCTATTATGGAAATACGGATTTTATTCCATCATAGATGATCATAGGTTTGCACACTGTATACTATATTTCCCTAGACATGAAATGATAAATTTTTTATAATCAAACTTTAATAAGTTATGCTGTAATTTTGAAGGTATGTAATAAGTTCCCTTACTTTGAGAGTATCGATTGCCCCTAAAAATCATTGTGTGAAAATCTTGACCGCCCTGTATACTCTATATTAGTAAAGTAAATTAGATGTAGTATGACAAGATTTGAATGTAAACATTCAAAAATGAATTAATATTCATAATCGAATTGAATAGAAAAAAAAAGATAAAAATTAGAAATGAATACTCACTGAACTTTCTGGATATCTCCTCATTCTTCTTGTCATACTCGTCCAAGCGGGTGGCGTACTCGAGAGTCTGCTTTTGTTGGTCAGTCAGCTGCTTCTGCTGCTCGGAGATTTGCTTCTGCTGGTCGGAAGTTTTTTTCCTGCATGACCTCAAATCCTGTCTGAGCAGGCTCAATTGGCTGTTGTATCGCTTCATACCCTACAAAATCATAGACACTCATAATCTCCATATACAGACTGTCCAGGAATTAGCCTGCCATACTTCAACAGGAGATTCTTCAATCGAAAATAAGAAAAAAAGTTCCTATAAACCTTTTTTGAAAAATGACTATAAAAATGTTATCATGATAAAGACGCTCTGCACAAAACAAGTGTTAAATCACTTAGGTGCATATTTATGGAAATCAATATAGTTGTAGTGAAGTGATTTTGTATTAGGTATAGTATGAAACACATATGAATAAATTGTTAATTTTAGTAAGAACTGTTGCTGATACTGTCCTATGAAACGATTTATTTGTTGTTGTATGAAACTGTTTATAAACATGAGCTCCACTAAATAAAATGGACCTAGGCCTGTTAATAGCTCTCGGTATCGCTCGGGCTCTAACATACACGCTGTGGTCCATAAAAGCCTACTTAACGCCCTTGATTCATAAATGACTATTAGTATTCTTACCTGCTTAATCTTGCGAATGCGCTTGCGCAGTACCATATTGGACTGTGGAATGTGCTCCACTGTGTCCTCACCACTTTCTATTTCATCTGTTGAAGCATGCCCACTGTCCTTAGACACATCCGATGTCAATGACGAAGAATCTACAGGAATAATAGGTGTAGGGGAAACATCTTACAATCCAAAGATACAGGGTGCCCGGAACGGTCATGTTGTTAATGAAAGGTCTGATAAGAGTGAACCAAAATAATGTCAGTACTTTATATAAGAAAAATGTCTATCACACTTCATTACAGAGTTATTGAACTTGAAAGTTTGAATAAATAGTATATTACACACCGAGGTGGAAAGTGATTGATTCTTGTCGTGAGATTAGTTAGTTAACCCAGACGCAAAGCCCATTACACTGCTTCCGGTAATCGGTGATTGGAAAAAACTCCGAAAAGATTTTGGAACAATGACTACAAGATAGCATAGGAATGAATATACCATGAAATCAATATGGTATCAGAAGTAATACATCTACCATCCATCCAATAGTCATTCTTAAATCAAATATTCAAGCAAACTACCTCCAGGGCTATCATTCTGCTGCTGTGTTCCTGGACATCAGAAAAGCCTTTGATAGTGTATGGCACAAATGTCTCCTATACAAACTATTCAATTTTAACTGTTCAAATCATCTACTTTTGTTAATGAAGGAATATTTCAACAACAGGCAAAACAGAATAAAAATTAATGGTGTGCTTTCAGAAATTTTCAGCATAGCACAGGGAGTGCCTCAGGGTTCCCCGATAGCTCCATTATTATTCAACATTTTTTGCTATGATATCGGTAAGCAGCTACCACTGAACGAGAACAATACATACTCCAGTTTGCTGATGGTAACACAATTATTGCACATGACAAAAATATTCTGGGACTCATGGACAAACTCCAAACTATGATTACAGCTCTGACTGAATGGTTTTGTAACTGGAAATTAACACATAATCAAAAAAAAATTGAACTTATGATTTTCCACCATAAAATAAAAGACAATTCCCCGACCATCCATATTCTGAATGAGACCATAAAACAAGTAGTAGAAACTAGATATCTTAGACAATAAACTCAAGTTCCAGAGACATCTCATATCAGTCAAGAAGAAAGCAATTTGAAGAGCCAAACATTTTCGTGGTTTGACTTATAAGACTCAGGGAATAATAGTACATTACACACCGAGGTGGGAAGTGATTCATTCCTGTCGTCTGAACATACCTGAATTATTACATGAGTGAGGGCAGGAAGTAGAGGTGCGTAATGTGACACTTCTCAACCTTCAATGACGTTAGTAATGACACCATTACATATATATTTGTGAATAAAGACAATAACAGCAACATCAATATATAAAGCCATATTATGTCGTCCTCTAATTGAATACAGCTTCATCTTGTTCAGCACATGCAGAAAAACTACCCTGAAGCACATTGAAGTTGCAGAAAGAAGTTGTTTAAGAGCCATTACTAAAATCCGACATCCTAATAATCCCTTGCATAACCCTCCCAATACCCAACAATACAATTTAACTAAATTAGAACCCATCCTCCAATGACTCCACAGACTCAGCACAAAATTTGCGAAGTCCGCCAAGTTATTGGGCTGCCGAAAAAGTTTATAAGAAAAAGAAAATTTCCAGAAATAATCATTTTTCAAGGACTGATCCAACTGCAGCAAACAGGATAGCAAGCAATAAACTTTTTTCCTTATTTTTTAACATTATTGAACTATTATTATTACTATTACTCCTACTTTGTATATTATATTTTGTAAATTGGGCTGAAAGACTTCAGTCAATGGCCTTTTGGGGTATATCCCTAATAAAGATTTTCTCTCTATCTCAAAATTGGTATATAGAGATTTTCGGTATCAGGGATTATTATTCCTTCATCAATATTAACAAATTCAAGATGGCGGATCCAATCTGGCGGACGAGTTTTGTAATTATAATCCAATTCTATTCAAAAGTTGTATGTGGGAGTTTTCAGGGTCCAAAATTACAATTCCTTTGTCAAAATTATAATTCATTCTTCAAAATTAGAAAATTCAAGATGATGGATCCAATATAGCAGACGAGTTTTGTAATTATTGTCGGGGCAAAAAATAAAATAATAATAATAGTGTTGATGAAAAAATATTTTCTGGTGGTTTGGACTAAACACTTACTCCATTGTGAAGGGCAATCAGCAAGAATTTGAGACAATTTTCGTGAGCACAACAATGATTCTCATATTACTAAGTAAATACTTACTGGCAAAATTGCCGGAGAAATTCAAGAAATCAGTGCTAAAGTAGGCAATGTCTGGCAAATTGGGCTCGATTTTCTCTTTGAAATATTCCATTGCCATGGTGGACAAATCAAACAGCTCATCAGTGACTTTGTAAGGCAAATCCAGTTTGGGTGTTACTTTGATGTAATTCAAAATGTGATGAACTTCATCAAGAATTTCTCCAGGAAAGAAACAAATGTGTTTCCTTTCTATATGCTTGCCAAATGTCATCTGTAATAGAGTGAGACGCATATGCAGGGTCTCAATGATGTCACTTTCACAGGCAAGATGGTGGCTACGTCTGGCTGATTCTCTCCTGGGCATCTTGGCCTTAATCTCCTGGAATCTGGCCAGCATTTGATTCTGCAGCTTGAGAAACATAGAATTTAACATTTGACTGCAAATGTGATCCATAGTGCGCCCGACCTGAAAAAAAAACTCATATTTTTGTTACTCCATTCTGAGCTCAATTCATTATCCAAATTACCATCCACATTTCATTCCAACATTCAAACTATGGTAAACATTCTTCTTTTGATTGCATAAATGTATACTCAAAATGATAAATGAGAAAAATGTAGAGAGAAATACAGCTATTCCCAAATGCAAAAATGATCATCAGTGTGAAACCAGCCAGGAGTTGCAGCCATACCACCAATGGTCGTTTATTACTAATTTATACTCATGGCTGGCCATGAAATTATTAAATCCTCCAAAATATGTCAGTTCATGAAACTATTTTCCATGAATGTATCCCTCTAATGGTCCTTAATGATCTGTATATCTCTCAATATTTTGTCAGGCGGGCAAGAATCAACCCCATAGGCCCCTTTTTTGGAATTTTGAGAATAAATCATAACTTTTTCAAATCACGCGTGGATGGGAGTTTTTTCTATGAATGTGTTCCTATAATGGTACTTGATAATGTGTACATATCACAATATTTTGTCGGACAATGATTGACCTCGCAGGCCCCCAAAATTCAAAAAAAGGAGGCCTGTAGGGAATTCTTGCCTGTCAAAATTTTGTGGGATATACACATTATCAAGAACCATAGAGGAACACATTCATAGAAAAAACTCCAATCCACGTGTATTGTGAAAAAGTTATGATTTTTTTTTTTCATAATATCAAAAGAGGGTATCCATGGTGTTAATTCTTGCCCAACAAAATATTGTGAGATATTTATACAGATTATCAAGAATCATCAGAAGAACACATTTATAGAAAAAGAAAACTCCCATCCACCTGTATTTTGCAGAAATTATGATTTTTTTTTCAATTTCATAAAAGGGGGTAACTGGTGTTAATTCTTGCCCGACAAAAAATTGTGAGATATACACATTATCAAGTACCATCAGAGGAACACATTCATAAAAAAAAAACTCCCATCCATGCATGTGTATTTTGAAAAAGTTGATTTATTTTTGAAATTACAAAAAAATGGACCTGTGGGGCTAATTCTTGCCCGCCAAATCTTGAGAGATAAACAGATTATAAAGGACCCTTAGAGGATTTAGTAATTTCATGGCCAGCCACAGTTTAAATTAGTAATGAATGACCATTGGTGGTATGGCCTGGATTAATTGGTGAAGTTGTGGCTGTAACTCATGGTTGGTTTCACACTGATAAAATGATCCATCAAGAGCATTGTGGACTTCATTGTTACCTATAAACCTGTGTGTGCATAATCATGCATGCATGATCAACTGATTTTGAGTGTTCTTTCTCTACTTTGTATTGTATATGTATTCTATACCTCATTAACCCAACTACCTTAGTTTCTACATTTATTTGATGTAATGTGAGAATGGAGGTAACACTTACAAAAAGCAAATAAATGAAAAATTAATGATTGTTAAATAATTTGAAGACCAAAATTACCTACAATGAATAATATAAAAATCCAACTATAAATGAAATATAAAACCCATGTGGTTTTAGCAGTTGCAAAAAATGAGAAGCATTACAAATAATGATGATATTATCAAATAATACTCACAAGTCTCAACTGGCAGATATTCTTGAATGGTAAATAACTGAATATTTTTTCAATAACCTCTTGGGGCAAATCCAAAAAAAATACAGATTGCACTTGTGGAGCCCTACAGGTCTGTACCATTCCACAGAAACTTGTGCTGGCAATGGTGCTATTTCTAGTGGATTTGGCGGGGCCTTCACTGGGAGAATGATTACTCTCCACAGCCCCATTATTCCCTATTGTCATTTGTCTAGTTGAAACCATTTTTCAAAATCCAATCACAATTGCAGTATCATCGACTGAAATTAAATTTTCATAGCTATTTTGTCATGTTGCTGTGTATCAACAAGCAGCTTGAACACAAATAGTATATCTACCAAAAAATAAATTAATTTGCTACAAATATCCTCCATAGCTAATTCCAATGATTAATCCATGATATAGGAATACGATCTACTTACCCACCCGTCAGAACATCTTTTTGAAAGTTTTTATAATTTGAATATAATAAATTTTTTGAACTGACTCGATCCTTTATCTACTGCACAAATATGTTGAGTTCTTGAGCTTTTCCTACGTCTTGATTCGCCTCTCGATTGTCCTAATTGTATTGAATTGAACACTGAATTTGCTGAATCTTCAATAATATATCCGTTCGAAGGTGAAGCAATTAAGTAATTTCCAATTTCAACAATAAACTAAAGAAATTTCCATTGCGATATCGAGAAATCAAGAATATCGAAATAGGATATGAATAGGATAGAAAATGTAGGAAATGAACGAGCAATGACAGTTCGACAGTTGTCTCACTTTTCTAGTCCGAAGTTCTTGACAGTTGACAATGGCCACAGACACTCACAAACGTCACACAATATCAGCGAATGCGCATGCGTTCAAAATACCATGATAAAGCTATGATTTACATTGACATCTGACATCCTTCATAATTCCATTATTGCATTATCGGCTTATCGGGCATCGCTCGCCATATTGTTTTGTTGTTAATGCATTTTCATTGATTGTAGGAAGAATTGACGATTTTTTGAATCAGTGAATTGATACCTGTTTATTGTTTGCATATTCCGGATAGCTAGTAAAATGGTGGTGATATTTTCTTAGTGTATCATTTAAATGATTAGTTCGTTTTCTCGGCGTTTATCTCTATCTTGAACTGCTCGAAAATGATGACCTCATTTCAACAGCAACGCCTATTGCTCATCAATGCTGCTGGGAAACCTGTAAGTACTGTAGTAATTGTTGGAGTGGACAATTATTGATTGGGAGATTATTTCTAGCCTCCTCTGCCACAAGACACATCATCCTCAAGTGCTCAGCCTCCACGAGGATTACCCTCAACAAATCCTCCTCCAATTCCCCCTCCAAACCTCCCACCTCCAGCTGTACCACCAGTAATGCTCCCTCCAGGTATGTCTCCCCTTGGGATACCTTCAATGCCTCCACCTCCTATGTCACTCATGCCTCCTCTGCCTGTCCAATCACCATCAGGGCCTCCTTTGCAGCTAGATCCTGTACCTGGCACAGAGATGGAACAGGAATGTGAGAATCTTGAGCCAGAACCGGATTTAGAGCCGGATTACATGGAGAATGAGCCTCCAGCACCAGGAACTGAAGACCCTGATGTCCAAGTAGATCCAGCTCGTAAGTATCACTTTTGAAGAGTTTTATGTGTGTTAGCCTTGAGTACCGGATTAAATTTTAATGTGAGATGTCTTGCTTGAGATGTTCCAGAAAGATCCGCCTGGTAGACTCATGGACTCTGGCAAAGCTGTTACTGACCTTACTGTAGCCCTACGCTACACGGTAGGAGACAAAATATGTAAATACCCAGTGTTTGAGTATGAGTTCAATAATATGAATATGAAATGTCTACCTACTTATGCAGCAACTGGTATCTGCTCATCATGAATTTTTCTCAATTTTGAAACAAATCATTGTGTAGGTACCTAATTAAAAGTAGTTTCCAATGTATTTGTTCTTTCAGTGTTTTAGCTTATACAATAGCTCATCACTGAATTGATAGTCAATGTTAAGTAAGATATGTCTATATTTTTAAATTTTTCAAGACATTCCTGGTGCAAATAGAATTTATGTACTTACAGGGTAATTCAAACTTCCTGCCCTTGCTCATAACAGGAGAAGAAAAAATGTAAATTTGGCAGAGGGGATTTGAATAGCTTCTGGTAAGATACATGTTTTCCTATTCCAACATTTTTCAATCCTTTTCAAGATGGCGGAAATGACGTCAGAAAAAGTATTTTGTTCACAAAGTTATCTTTTTTTTTATATTCTGAAAGAACTTATTTTGAAAAAAGTTATTTTCTATATATTTTTTTTTTCTTAATAAATCTCTAAATAAATCTCAACTGACCCCAACATAATAGAAATTCTGTCGGCCGGGTTTTATATAAAAATTGCAAAAGGTATCCCAATTCAAATTGCTGACAAAACAATTGTTTCCCGGCAGACTTGGTTTCCATTATGGCAGGGTCAGTTGAAATTTATTCGAAAATGCAAACTTCAGAGTCCCATTGCTATCAACTAGAGTTCATTGATGTTCTTGACTAGTGTCAAGGACATCTAGAAACTCAACAATCAACCAAATAAAGATAGAAAAAAAACTTTTTGGATGAAAGTTGTCCTTTCTTGACAAGAAAAAAGATTGACATTTCTTCTTTGTTGATAGGTTATCACTTTTCATAAATTGATTTTTTCTTCATCTGTACAATTTTTCAGTCCATTAATATCAACATAATTGGTATTATAGCTCGAATTTGAAATATATGGAGAATTGAAATCATGAAAGTTTCATGGAATGAGATACTGAAATATACAGTGTGACCCACTTAAGACCCGAGCACCCTTATTAAATCTATAGTTTTTAACCGATTTCTTTTTTTTTGTTTCAGCAGAAGGACTTTCCGGAAATATACGTTTACACAAATTTGCAAAATGAAATTTTAATCTACAGGGCATACTATGTTTATTTTTTCCATGTCAAAAATTGAGAAATATCATTAGCGATTTAAAAAAATAATCGACCTTACCACTGAATTCAGCATCCTTCAATTAGGCTGAGCGCAAAATTTCATTGGAAAATTTCGATTGGCAACAAAGTTATAACAACATTAATTTTGATTGCTCACCATTTTTAATGAATATTTCAGACAAATTCTGAGAAGCGGCAACATTGTCAACACAAATATTGGAAATCATTGAAATTTCTGGTATACATTTGAATTGATAGCACAAATTATTATCCAGTTATAACATCTAAAATGGAATTTATCTCGGTATTCATGAAAAGATTCATAAAATTAAAAATCCAGAACGTTGAAAAATCGGCTTCCCACAATAATTATCATCAACCAAGGATTTTTGTTTAAAATGATAACTTCATCTTAATTTTATCATTTACAAATTTTCTACCAGCCATCCTACAAATAAGTTTAATAATACATATCATTGAATAATCTCGGTCCATAACTATCGGGCGGGTTTTGTAAACTTTTTTTATAAGAAAACCCCACAAGAAGAAGTCAAGAGGGATTAAATCGGGGGACCTGGATGGCCATCCAAACAATTCACTTCCTCGACCAATCCAGCGACGAGGAAACTGTTCATTCAGCCATTGTCTGATAATCCTAGCATGATCAGCCATCTAATTGAAAATGTAGATAATTCCAAAAGGGTATAATTTGTGTATAATTTGTGTTAATAATTCAAATGTATACCAGGAACCTAAATGATTTCCAACATTTGTGTTGACAATGTTGCCGCTTCTCAGAATTTGTCTGAAATATTCATAAAAAATGGTGAGCAATCAAAATTATTGTTGTTATAACTTTGTTGCCAATTGGAATTTTTCAATGAAATTTCGCGTTCAACCTAGTTGAAGGATGCTGAATTCAGTGGTGGGGTCGATTTTTCTTGAACAAATCGCTAATGATATTTCGCAATTTTTAACATGAAAAAAATAACATAGTATGCCCTGTAGATTGAAATTTTATTTTGCAAACTTGTGTAAACGTAGATTTCCGGATAGTCCGTCTGCTGAAACAAAAAAAAAGAAATCGGTTAAAAACTAGGGATTTTATAAGGGTGCTCCGGTCTTAAGTGAGTCACACTGTATATGAAAACTTTTTTTCAAATCCTGTTGCTGAAACGCGACATATTCTTCTATTACTCAAAAAATGAATGGAACAGATAACCAACAATCATCTCCTAAATGAGAAACACTGTATATACCTAACCCATCAGGCGCCTACCCCGGTTGCAACGAGGGTTTATCGATGCCAAGGGTTGATACTCTGCCCTCGTAAGGGTACCTGTTGTGTCTCCATCGAGACATAAAGGTGACTATCTAAAAAATAAATGTTCTCTGATAATATATCGCCTTCCATAACAAATACGAAATGTGTAGGAAATATTTGAAATGAATTAAATATAATTCGTGAATAGGAATGAAAAACTTATCACCCGTCTGGTCTGGTTTCCTTTTCTGTACATTGTTTCGGTCGATTAATATGACGTCGCTTTTTCGATCTAAAAAATGGTTGGTATTATATCTCGAATTTAAAATATATTTAGAATTGAAATCATGGAAGTTACATGGAATAAGAAACTGTAATAGATTTAAAAACTGTTTTCAACTTCCGTTGCTGAGAGGCGACATAATATTCTTCTACTACAAAAAAATTAACAGAACAGATAGCCAACAATTTTCTCCTAAATGAGAAACACTGTATATACCCATCAGGCGCCTACCCCGGTTGCAACGAGAGTTTACCGATGCCAAGGGTTGATACTCTCTTTTCCTAAGAGTATCTGTCGAATCTCCATGGAGACATAAAGGTGATTATGTTTTCTGAAGAAGACAGTACATTGCACGGACATTTTGCATTTCATATTTTCTTCCCACTATTTTTTTTTCACGTCTTATTCCTGCGTGAACTCACATTGTTACTAAACTGTAATATTTCGATGAACAATAAATGTTTGATTGATTAAGAGTGACTATCGAAAATGCTATATAATATATCGCCTTCCTTAAGAAATTGTGAATTTTGAAGAAATATTCGAAATGAGCTGAATATAATACGAAACAGGAATGGGAAACTCAGGGAAACTCATTACCAGTCTCAAGTTTCTCGTCGGTTTTTGCTATGCAATATAATAATATTAATAATAGTACTTTCGAACAACAATGTTCAAAAGACTATCAACCGAAGTCCTTCTGCCAACAACAACCATTCCATCACTAGCAATACCAGTCAGACGAACTGGACAGGCCCAGTCAGCACATCCCTTCGTCGTTGTCGAACAACACTCTACCAAAACTCGTTCGTCTATGGAACGGCGAAACTTTGAATTTCTTTGCCAATGAAAGTATTCCCAAGAACTTATAACCTCCAGGAGTTCAATAAAAACTCCAACGCCTACTTCTTCTCCTTATCCTCTCTAGGTACGCACGATATTCTACGAACATTATAGGAATTTCCTGTCGTGCCCTCCAAGAGATAAAAAAGTTGCATTCCTGTCTGGAGATCATAGCTAACCTCGACGCTTCACGTCTCGATTAACTAACTAATCTCACTACAGGAATGAATCACACCCCACCTCGGTGTGTAATATACTATATTTGACATAATTTCCGCCACTTTGAGGTACGTTGAAAAATGTTTAAATACGAAACAATATATACCAAATTTCCTCTGCACTTTTCCTGTTTTGAGCCAAGGGCGAGAAATTTGAACTACCCTGTACAGATTATTTTTTATTTCATAGGCAATAGCAATGCAGCATTAAAAAAAATTAATAGGGCAGAACACCCTTTTTGACCTGAAGCATTCTGATCCTCTATAAACTTCAGATAGGTATTTACAGATTTTTTATTTCAAAACTATTCTTTGAGCAGGATTAACAACTCATACTCATGCATGATACTCATCAAATTTCCCCCAAGGAAAGATACCCGGTTGTTTGAGACATCTCTATTTTTTTTGTGTTTCCAGATGCTAATAGGTGCAACGTTTTGCGAGATTTTCGGTTTCTAGAGGCTTGAGTTGAACCACCAGATGGATATAACTACTTGCCAGAGCTTTGAAAATGTACATATCTATTTCAACACTTTGGATTCTTTGTGTCTGTTTTCAATGCTAATTTAATTGTGTATAAGGAAGATTTTCCCTTGGATTTATGTCCCTCCTCTGGATTTATATAAATATTATTACTTATCATATATTGTGTAAACAGTACAAATTCGTGGTATCTTGAGAATACAATAGTAGTATATAATAATCTTTTTACTTAATGAAAATTGTTCTTTTTAGATAATAATCTTTTTACTTAATGAAAATTGTTCTTTTTAGATCTTATTATTAAATCGGGCATTGCTATGATAGAATTTGCACTTCTTGATATTTTGAATTTGTATTGTTGCATTGATGACATCCAGAACTGTTATTTTAAAATAATTTTAAAAAGGTCATACTCAAGTATATGGGTTGCGTGCAAGAACTGTCAGATGACCGACCGTGGAGGTGAAACATTGAAACACAACCACACTTTTCTCATTTGTTTGCAAATGATTGAAATAGTTTTTCACAATTATTTTGGCATACAAATCGTGTTTTTCAGCTATTCATTAATTCGCTATGCCCTCACATTGTGCTGTTGTACAATGCACAAAAAATGCAGTAAGAGAAAGGAATTCGGTTGGTACATTTAAAACGTTCTCTAATCTCATCGGAATTCCTTCTCCAATAGGAGCTAATATAAATACTCGTGAAATTTCTGAAAGAATGCAAGAAGATTGGATTCATGCAATCAAACGGGAGGACTGGTCTGACATGGTGACGAAATATGATCGTGTGTGTTGTAGACATGTTCAATCTACTAGCAGTATTTGCTTCTATTATTGCAGAAGTGTATTAAGGAATTTTAATAAGAAAAAACAACATTTCATAATGAAAACTATGAGATTACTATTCATCTGAAAAAACATATTCCTTCATCCCTCGCTGCATTTTTTGTGTATTGTACAACAGCACAATGAGAAGGCATGCTTGAATTAATGAATAGCACTAAAAATACGATTTGTATGCCAAAATATTGTGAAAAACTATTTCAATCCATTTGGTTCCTCTGTATACAAATAGGTTGTGTTTCAATGTTCTACAGAAAAGTGAGGTTGTGTTTCAATGTTTCACCTCCAGGGTCGGTCATTGTGAACGCGACCTATTAGCTGGAACATGCAACATGATATTTAATTTCTGTCAAATGAACTAAAAGTCAGGCTAAGAAACATTGACAAAATATGATAGAAATCCATAGTATGTACTTAATTGTAAAAAACTTCATAAACAATAAGATTTCCACAAACTTTTTAAAAAACCCAACATGTTTTGCTAACACAGTGGTTTCAAGAGACAAGATAAATACTTATACAACAAATTAACCAAATTAAATTATTAGAATTACTTGCGAGCAGGCTGCTAATTCTTCATTTCAGAAAGTTGTGCAAGTATTCCACTTCCAGAACCTACTGTGTTAGTGTAACATGCCCTGTTTTTAATAATTTCGTGAAAATCTTATCATTTGTGAAGTTGTTTACATTTTATGGTAGATTTGATGGGAATATGTTCTCATCTGAAGTATATCCTGATCTTATCTATTTGATATTCAAACACAAATCATGTGTTTCCATTACCACCAAGGATATTACAGCAAGAATGGTTGAAACAAGTTTTTTTTCCTGTTCATTAAGTCTGAAGTTCAAAATGCCCCACTATAGAGAATGAGATATTGCTTGTAATGTTTTTGATTCTGAAAAAAGTTGAATTTTAATCTTGAAATAGAAGCTTCCATGTGCTTCCAACAGAATAATAACAAAATTATTCTGAATGAATCTAAATACACATACAATGTCAATTATGATAACTAGTGGATTTCTGGTACACTTGTGCTATTAAATAGTACAAATAGCTTACATAAAATGTATTCTGATTTTAAGGTGGTAATTACTTACAGCTACTAACGTATTTCTGTTTTTTTTCTCTCTGCTGTCCAATTGACATAAATAAATAATGAGGATGTTCACATGTCCACTGTCATCATCAAAATTGGTGCCAGAGTGTTCAAACTTGAGATCAAAATTGTTTTTTTTTTGTACTAATTTTGATCTAGAATTGAATTGGTTATAATAATGATAATAATATGATGTTATTTCTTCAAGAACATCAGTATGAGTTCAGAGCTGTTCCAGTTAATGAATTCATTACAAAAAATAATGAAATTTGAAAGACAGTAAAGTGCTTGTATGAATGGTAGCTGAGATTATTAGTAGCTAGATAAATTGCTCGAAGTTTTTTTTTCATTCAAATTAACTTTTCTTTGTTTGGTTATTTTCGTGAATTAATAAAGGGGGACTTCTCTCCAAGTTGCCAACCTAAAATCCTCTACCTCTGTTGAAGCAATATTTTGAAAGTTTGATTAGTCAAATAGCTTTATTTAGGTGCAATTTGATCGTAAGCGTCTATTCAGCTTTCTAATGAAAGTTAGTCAGGAGAAAAATTAGTTTTTGTGTACTTCACATCTGACTGGTTGAAAATCATGTTGGTGCATCTGCGGTACGTCAATACTGAAATGTCAATACTTTCAATAGTGTCAGTAGTATCACAAGTAAAAAATGCTATATTATGTGGTTCCATCACGTTCGAACTTTCGAATAATGATCAAGACAATCTCATGAGAATAATTGATATTTTTGTATTCCGACATTTGTGATATGTCTCTTTTATTGGAAAATTTTACCAGTTTTTATTTGAGGCGAGTCATTTGAGGTTGAAAAATATTTACCTAGTACCAATATGTAATGTGAAACATTACGACACTGATTTTAGTATCGGTAAAGTGAAAAAAATTAAATTTGAAATTTTATTTTTACTCAAAAAACGAAATAAGATCCAATTTATCATGAATATAGACATTCATTTTCATACCTATCCCGGGATTTAGCAGGTACTAGTTTCGATTGCTGCATTCGCCACAATTTCCATATCGGGATCTAAACTTTCCCTGATCCGAATTCATGCCGATGAATTTTTTTTTTTTCGAATTGAAATTAACGCGTCAAAGTTGACAGTTCGCCGAATGAGTGACCGAGAACACAACAGATTCACGACAACCATACGCCCATTACTTACAATGCTTGTCTGTTACATATTCCTGATGAATCGTCAGTTCAAGAAATATTGAATATTTTTGGTCAAATAATTAGCTTTTTGGTAGTAGGTGAAATTATTACGATAATCGATAGGTTATCAAACTCGGCCTTCCCATCTATCCGTAATATGAGTCTTTACGATACTCTTATCGTAAATATCTATTATTGAACGATTTCTTTTTCCTATCGTTATTGTTTTAATAGCAAAACGCTTATTATTACATAGGTATGTTAGTATTTCTATTTATGATATCGACTGTGATTCCTTCGTTTCCAAACAGTTATGGTTTCATCCACGTTCAGAAGGTTGAAACTTCATTATTTCATTCTTATCCTAAGTCATGTCCGGATCGATTTTTAGCACTCAAATGAAATATATTCCTACTTCCTACTGCAACGATCAAACTTCTTTACCAAATAATGATAAATAAGATTATTGTCCATGAATAAAATAATCTTAAATATGTAACAAAAATGTGACAAGAAATGAAATTGACGACGATATGACATATTTCAGAATGAAAGCTGCATCAACATAATTTTCGACTAATCAGAGCTGGAGTTCACAAAAATTAATTTTTCTTCTGAATAACTTCTATTCGTGAGTTGAATAGACTCCAACAATCGGATTATATAAAAAAAAAGCTATTTGAGTAATAAAACTTCCATAATGTTGCTTCTACATTTTTAGAGGTTTTTAGGTTGGCAACTTGGAGCAAAGTTCCCCATTGGAATTGTATGAATGATGAAACATAATAATTATGTTCACAAAAATTCAATAAATTTTTTTAATGTTTAAAAACTGATTCTTTCGACTTATTCAAAGTGGGAATCTCTGTTGAGGACTTTCATTTTGGATACCTAGTTCCAGTATAAGGGTTACAAATTCTCCATACTATCATTTTTAGTCTCATTATAAATATGATTTTTCTTTACACTAAGCAATTTTTCTGGCTATTTCTCTCCGCTAATTTCCACTTAATCATTTTGACTGCCACTTTGTTTGTTTTAGGTTTGTGTGAGGAGTATAATTATATCTTTAACTTGACACAAACAGGAGAAGTTATAACAGGTGAGTGAAAATAGTTTCAAATAAAACAATAATAATTATATTATTCCATTTGAAAATATTCTTCAACATCAAGCAATAATTATTATTTAGAAGAACTGATTTGCTGCTTTACTGATAAATATTATGTATTAGAAAAATGTATAATACTTCATGAAGTAATTTGTTACACTATGAAATGTGTTCATTAAATTACCCTAAATTATTTATAATTTCCTGTCATAGGTCCTGGTGCCCGTAGTACCACAGTTGCAGGCATTCTGAGTCCTCTGCCTAAACTTTCTTCTGACGATGCAGATGCCGTCAACAAAGCCAAGAAATATGCAATGGAACAGAGCATAAGGATGGTGCTCATGAAACAGACTATAGCTTATCAACAGCAGGTATCATGTTTTTTATTATTATTTATCTAAAGCTTATCAAATCACATCATGTTCATTCTGAAAACTTCTTGTTGTACAATAAGTAAGAGACCATCATTTATAACCTTTATACCTTCACCAAAACCCCAAAACCTAATTAAGTTGAGTGATCTTATCAAATATTGCATTTGCTCATGTCTTGTTGTTTTTCTATTATTATTATTATCATCGTTGATTTACACAAACAAATATATTTGTGACTGACTTTTTTAACAATGTATAACATGTGATTTGATGTAGAAAAGTTATATGCAAAATTAGCTGAACAAATATGGTTCAAACTTATCAAATAAATTTGATGTGACTGTTAACTAATATATATCTATCAATATGGCAATCTTTTTTTCTTTTTATTTATTTTATTCATTTACTTTAATATATTTCAATATACATACATTTACTCGAGTATATGGAAGTGGACTAACAAAATTTTACTTCACAGAAAAATAAGACGTTCCAGAGACATCAAGTATTAGTTTTAATGTGCAGGTTAGTGGGCTGATTATATCGCACACGCCCGCCAGGGGGCGAGAGCTCGCCCCCCCTTTTTCATGCACACCCAGTAGACCCGTTTGCACAGAGCGTACTTATCAACCAAGCAACCATCATTGTATTTTTTTCTTCATTCAGTACTATACTAACTTGCTGCCATACTTATACATTCTCACCTATCTTCGATTTCAATAGTGGTGGTATCCTGTTGAGTTCTATGGCATTAAAAATATTTATTGCTGTTGATAGGTTATTCAATACATATTTTTTGATTATTTTATATTCAACTTATGAAAGATTGTTCAAATATACTTACTTAGAATGATAAATTCATTTGATAGAAATTTAATTTCATTACAAAAAAAAATGACTGCAGTCAGTCTTTGAAATTCCTTTCATCAATGGAAGGTATTTGTGAAAATTCATTCGGTAGGGTGAGCCAAGAAATGTTGTGTTCAAAAATTATGGAAATGGCAGATATCATATTATAAATAATCAATGAGAAAGCTTGGATATTTAAGTAATCACTGGTGCTTACGGTCGAAGGGTTCCAATTTTCTCACAAAATTGTGACATGGCTATTGTCCTCTGTTGCAGCAAGAGGCTAGTCAGAGGAATCTAATCCAGAGGCAACAGGCTCTCGCTCTCATGTGCAGGTTAGCACGCTGAAAATACGTACGTTCTTATACTTTGTTGCCCCCTATTACAACTGAGGTCATAATATGTTTTTTGTATTTTTTATTCCTTTATTATTTCAATTTCTGTTTTTTTGTTTTATTTCGGGGCAACAAGGTAAACCTATAATGATTCATTATGGGAGATTTGATGATCAAGAAGATTTTCCATAGACAATTTACTAATTCATTTAGTTGTTAATTTCAAGCAGTAGATTTTGTTCATTTTGCAAGGTTTATTGGGAAATGTTCATGGTTTATCTTTTTCTATATTTTATCCTTATAAAATGATGAAAATTATTATGTTTTGAAGTTGTTGAGGATTTATTCTCCGACTTGTGAATTTTTGCTGATAAGATCTGATTTTTATAAGGTTATCTTGGATTCTACTAGAGAAACATCTTGCAGAAGAAATTAACTTGATTCATAATTCTGAGAATTTGTTATGCAAGATTTTGAAATAAGTACAGGTTATTTTTGTGAATGGATTTCACAGTCATCAAAGGCATTGCTTATCATTCAACTGGAACTGTTTTCATTTAGTTGACTAAAAGTTTCTGCTGAATGATTGTGATGGATCAATATCATGCTTTTTACAGTTGTAAATTGTTCTTGATATTAATTTCTTGAACTTTTATTTGCATATTAATTGTATTGTACCAGTGTGTACAATGCATCTAAGACATATCAGTTATCGTATTCTTGAGCACAAAATAACCCGATTCAAAGTAATTTACAACCTTACGTGGTAAATTTAAAAATTTATAATCGAATTTTTAAACATATATGAGCATTTTTTAACGTATTACTTGAAAAATTTTGGGGTATGAAAGGGACACCTTTTCACTGTGGCCATTAGAAGGTGCCGACCAATGCGCTTCTTATGGTTTAGAATGGCCATAACTTTCATCTCAGTGTAGTTTCTTATTTTTTCTGTTGAGGATTAAATTTTCAGAACATTTTTGAGCAAAAAAGGTACTCTTTTTGAAAAACCGCTAAAAAGTGATGCCGCACCGAAATATTTAATTATTAATTTGAATAGAACATGATTGCTGTTATCTTCGTGGTAGTAATTTGGTCAGTGAATCAGCACTGCAAAAATTGATATTTCAAAATACTTTTCTGAAGTGTACTAGTCGATTTTTATTTTTTCACTTTACCACTCTGTATCTCGGAAACTTAGCAATTTCGGACAAATGTAAGTGTTGCTTTGAATCAGCTTATTTTGACCTCAGGAATATGTGCTAAGATTGTGTACATACATTTGGGAAACTCTGTATATTCAACTGATGATGAATTTTCCTTATTCATTAATGGAAATCATAAGAAAACACCCTGTATATCTAATTCGCCAAATAAGCTTATTCGCCATTTCAAATATTCATTGAAACGATGAATGGTTAATATAAAAGAGCTCCATAACCTTCACAGGGTGTATGTGGGCAGCATCAGTTTCGAGCTGAAAGAGGACACGATAAGACAGTCTTTCTTGCCGTTCGGGCCCATCAAGTCGATCAACATGTCTTGGGACCCGGTGACGCAAAAGCACAAGGGATTCGCGTTCGTCGAATACGAGATTCCGGAGGCGGCCCAACTGGCCCTGGAACAGATGAACGGCGTCATGATTGGCGGCCGCAACATCAAGGTAAACCGATTATACTTATTATCTTTATTGATTTGAATACATTAATTTCACTTAGTGTCCACAATTCTTATTTTTTACCAGCCCAGTGCGCATACCACGCACAGACAAGCCAATGACGAGTCGCTCGTCATTACTGAGGAATGCTGTGAAGTCCTGAATTTTATCGGCCGGGCTTCAAATAAATAAATAGCCTATCTACAAACTTATTTCTCAAATCACCATTATATAATCTTGATTTATTGGATATTTATTGCTTTCATCTCTATTTGGGTAAACGATATCGAAATTTCATATGATTTAGTAGATACAAGGTGTCTCAAAATTGCTGGGAGACAGAGCTACCACGTGTAATACAGTTGAAAATAAGTTGATTGGACCCATTTCATTTATATTTTCACAAAAAAACATATTTCTGTGCGCTGTTCAAAAATGAGTGCAACAAATTGCTTGAAAGACAAAAGTGCATTTCAGAAGGTAAGCCTTCTTTCAGTAATCAAAGAAGGATGGAAACCACCCTCACCCGCTGACATTTTTTTTTTTTTCAGAATATTCTCAGGAGTGGTAAAGGGTTCTCAATTTTTTTAGGCGAGAAAACTGATTAATTATCTTCATTCTGTTGTTCTTGTGAACATTTCGTATTCTGCATAGTCCTGATGAAAAAATATGTGTTCCTTAATAATGCTAACAGATATTTCTAGTAAATGATTGATAAAATTGTAATACAAAATTATTTGGCAGTGGAAACAAACGAATTGACATTTGTATTAATGAAGGTGGGAGTCATATTGAACAAAAATGTTCTGCCTTTGTTTCCACTGTCAACTAAATTTTTCATTATAATATTAAACTTTTACTAGGAATATCTGTTCAAATATTTTTTCCTTCCGAACTATGCGGAATCCGAAATTTTCACTAGGGTGACAAATTGAAGATAAATATTCAGTTATCTCGTTCAAAAAATTTGAGAACCGTATTCCACCCCTAAGAATGTTCAGAAAACAATGTCAGGAGGTGAGGGTGGTTTCAACCCTTCTACAATATCTTTTGGGTTCTCTTGATTACCGAGAGAAGGGTAATCCTTTAAAATGCACTTATGTCAAATTACATCCAATTTGTTTCTCTCATTTTTGAACAGTGCACAAAAGTTGTTTTTTTAGTAAACTTTGAACTCGTCTCACGGACAAACGGTACATTTTGTTATATAAATGAATTAGGCCCATTCAACTTATTGTGACTTGTATTGCAGGTGGTAGCTCTGTTTCCCATAAATTTGCGGACACCCTGTATAAAATGCAGAATATCAATTCTCTGGCAATAATTCCACAGAATTATCCCCACCATTCGCGATTCCATTCATATCCGTGTTTAGCCATTCTGATTGTTGACGTGTACGTTTCAATAATTTATGAATGAATATCGGTGTCTATCTATTGTTATTCAGCCTGAAACTTTACCTGCAATGTAAATTAAGAATGAATGCAAATGTTGAAAGAAGACATCCTCTATTGTTTTCATATCTATTCAAAGGTGGTTGGCAGACCCAGCAACATGCCGCAAGCGCAAAACGTCATTGACGAGATCCAGGAGGAGGCCAAGCAATACAACAGGATATACGTGGCATCCATCCATCCCGACCTCAACGAGGATGACATCAAAAGGTACGTTGTTATTATACATACACCCGGCAAACGATGTTTTGCCATAAATACTATTTCTAGAAAGTATTTTTTTAGTTGAATATTCATCAACACAGTTTTCTTATTTTATTTTCTACTTCTTTTTAGTTTGACTATCCATAAAATCGTGTTCCTTCAGTTTCAGTTTTTCAAACTACTATCCATTTTCTACTTCTTTTTGGTTCGACAATCTATCTCTTCAGTTTTTAAACTATATACTATAAATTTTCTACTTCTTTTCAGTTTGGCCTATTGAAGCGTGTTTCATTATATTTTTTCAAACTAATATTCATTACAAAGCTAGTTCGTCATATTGGATCCTCCATCTTGAATTTCCAATATTTCCATAATATGTTTCCAATGTGTCAGGAAGTATGTCTGCTACTCTATTTTCCCCGGACTATCATGTCCCATTTTTCATCATTTTCAAACTCCATTGAAAATGTGTTGGTAAATTGAACAAATGAAAATATGTTAGTGAATTGAACGAAAACCACGAATTGAGGAGCATCTGTACTGCTTCAATATTGCTTTGATCATAATTTCACACTATAGGTTCTATATTTATGTCAAGATCTTTGTGGCTTCTGCCTCATTCCTGTCAAAAATATCTAATTTGTGTGATGTTTGACAAGAATGACATTTAGAATGTCAAATGTCAAGACTTTTGCAATCTATTACCTGTTGATTCAAATCTGTTACCTTTTTCCAAGAAAATATGGTATGTAGAAGAAATTGAGACCCAGGAAGAACAGTGGTTCCATGTTCCATGATGAAATTTGACAGGTGGCTAGCGCCACGGATTCCACTTTGTTTCCAGACTTCCGAACAATGAACATTTAAGGCTCATCTTGCATTAATCAATTCCATTGTTCTATTTGCAGTGTTTTCGAGGCGTTCGGCTCGATCATCTATTGCAAGCTGGCGCAAGGCAGCTCGGGCACCAAGCACAAGGGATACGGCTTCATCGAGTACGAGCTGGGACAGGCGGCCAACGAGGCCATAGCCAGCATGAACCTGTTCGATCTGGGCGGGCAGTATCTGAGAGTGGGCAGGGCGATCACCCCGCCCAACGCCCTCTTGGGACCCTCGTCGGGATCCAGCGTGTTGCCCACCGCGGCAGCAGGTACGATTTTTTTTTTCGGCAACCGCTTTTCTATATTCCGAATCCAACTGACTGTACTGAATCTGCTGATTTTTCATTCACTGAAAGTGACACGATACTTGTGAGCAGACATACTATTCATTCCAAATATTTCAACTCGGCATTTTACTGAAATTGCTGACTATAGGTAGAGTGTGGCTTCGGTCACATTTATTTCCGTTGTTCTTTCAATAGTAAATTAATGATACCATTTTCAATATCAGAAAATGCCTGTTATTGATATAATTGACGCTTAATATCTGGTTCAGATGAACGAGAAACTATACAAAAGTGACAAAATGACAGCTGACAAAGTTCACCAGCGATCGACTACTGCTGATTACTGATGAAAACCATTAAAACATTTTCAGAATTACAGCACTGTATTTTCTATTTTTTATTTCGGAACACAGATTTTCAGCAGAGTCGTCAGTGGATTTACTGACAGTACTGACCAGTTGTTTTCGGAATATAACCACAATCGCCCCAAAATTTCAAGAAAATCGCATCATTAATAACCAAGATATTAGGTTGTATTCATGAAAAGCGGGACACACTGTATTTTTTTTTCATATCTTTCAAAAATGTGATAAGGTTGGTTCAGATTTATTTCAGAAAGTTTCCCATTTCTGTAATTTCTTCATCAAAGAGAACCTAGGGATTCAAAGAAGTTCACATCACCATATTCATTATTTCTTGGAATGTACAGGGTGATCAGATGAGGGTAGCGAGCGGCCATATCTCATAAGATATTGGTCGTATAGATTTGAGAAAAAAAAAAGTCATGACAAAAGTCGCCAAGAGAAATTGCTGGAAATTATTTTCGAGTTCGTAAAACGTCCGGTAGAACAAAAAGTTTCAGACGAAAAATGTAGGGAAATGGTCAGTAAATATGAAAATGATATCATCGGCATACGTTCATAAGACAAAATTCTTTAAAAATCCTATTTTTCTACTTGGTGTTGGTTGTTACGCCCTCTACCGGACGTTTGATAAACTCTAAAATAATTTTCAGCAATTTCTCTGGCGACTTTTATCATGTTTTTTTTTTCCTCAAATCTATAAGACCAATATCTTATGAGATATTGCCGCTCGCTACCCTTAACTGATCACCCTGTACTTTCTAGTCACAGTCAATATTGATCAATGATAATTTTCCTTGATTATATCGTTCTTTATCAAAGTGGCGGCGGCAGCGGCGACGGCAAAGATCCAGGCGATGGACGCGGTGGCGAGCAACGCGGCCGCCCTAGGGTTGTCCACCCTGAACAAACCAGAGCCTGTCGCCCCCGTCGGCATCGCGCAGCCCATCGTCACGGCGCCGCCCACGCCGGGCGGCATCCCGCCCCCCGGCATCGCCATTCCGCAAATGGCGCCGCCAAACCACGCCCTCCAACCGCCCATCGTGACTACGCCCATCGTCGGCGCCATGCCACAGGTGGTCGTCGTCAACGCTGCCCCGCCCCCTCTCCCCTCCTCTTTCGCGATGCCCGGCTTCGCTGAGCCGCCGCTGATGACGTCATCGTCATTGGACTCGATGAAGCGAGAGGCGCAGCTCAAGCAGCAGGAGCAGCTGCAAAAGAAGCTGCTGGACCAGAGCGAGCCGCAGACGTTGCAGCAGCAGGAGAGCATGTCGATAAAGGGCCAGAACGCCAGGCACTTTGTCATGCAGAAGCTGATGAGGAAAGTCGATACAAGAGTGGTTATTTTGAGGTAAGGAATAATATGTTGTTTTTTTCTGTGACGAGTAAAAAGTGAAACTTGATACAAATGTATTTGGACGCCGATTCCAGTGGCGTACCCGGATTTTTTTTTTCAAAAATCGTCGAGTATGAATTCTGGGTTTTGAAAGCCTCTGAATGTAATCTAGTAGGCCTTGGTTTTTGGAAAAATTGGACGACGCTTGGCTCTAAAATAAGCCTTTCCCCCTCCACATTTCTGAAAAAAAATTCTTCAAAATCAGTCCATAAATAAACATTCTATAAGGGTTGCCCGCTTTCAAATAGATCACTCTGTATGTCCATCATCAGGGAGGCTACAACTTTATCAATAATTCACAAAAACTGTACTTTACATATCTTTTGGTGGGGATCACTAGCAATGTGTCTAATGTGTTGATGATTTTTTTTTTCCTTAACATAATCATAACAAGCCTGTACAATAAATAAAATTACTCTAGGAATATGGTTGGTCCTGAAGAAGTGGATGAAACTCTGCAAGAAGAAATCCAGGAAGAATGTAGCAAATTCGGCTCAGTGGAAAGAGTGATAATATACAATGAAAAACAGTCTGAAGAAGATGACGACTCTGATGTGATTGTGAAGATATTCGTTGAATTCACCGAGACTCGTGGTAAGTTCAAGTTCGCATCTTTTTCTGAGCACATTTTGATCATCATGGTTGTAATTGGTGGTCTTTTTCAGAGGCGGAAACGGCCAGAGATGCGCTCAACGGAAGGTATTTTGGAGGTCGGATGGTTCGGGCTGCGCTCTATGATCAATCATTATTTGATCACAGTGATTTTTCAGGTTGAGACTTTCATAATTTATTTTAGTTTCCTAAGTTCCAAACTAGATCACATTTCGGTGTGAATATTGGAATGTCTGCATTCATCCATCTCAAGTTTATATTGAAATATTAAAGTAATTGTATATTGATTTTTGTTATCATGTATATTTTTTATTTGTAATATAGATTGTGAAAAGATTAAGAGCAATTATGAAGTTTGGTATAGAAAACAAAATTATAATTTTCAAAAAACATATAATACCCCATGGTATTTCTTATTTTGAATGAAAAGTATGAAGGGTATGCAAATTTTTCAATACCTAGTATCTTTCTAGTGGAACATTTTTATTAATTAAAATTAAAAGCTTTTATTTAACTTGCATTGTATGTATGTATGTTCGGGTGGAATCTTTGACCTCAATTTTGAAGTAGAAATCTTCAACCGATTGAGCTGAAATTTTGTATACACGTTCAGTTTGGATGACAATGCACGATAAGGTGTGTCACGTTATTCTAAATCCAATATGGCGGACTATCCAAGATGGCGGAATAGCTATTATTGATATACTTTTACAATATGGGTATCAAATGAAAGGGCTCGTTGAGAGTAATTCGAAAAATGATGTGACGTCATTCTTAATCGAATATGGCGGACCATCCAAGATGGCGGAATAGCTATTTTTGATATACTTCTACAATATAGGTATCGAATGAAAGGGCTCGTTGAGAGTAATTCGAAAAATGATGTGACGTCATTCTAAATCCAATATGGCGGAATAGCTATTTTTGATATACTTTCACAATATGGGTATCAAATGAAAAGGCTGGTTGAGAGTAACTCGAAAAATGATGTGACGTCATTCTAAATCGAATATGGCGGACCATCCAAGATGGCGGAATGGTCATTTTCAATCTACTTCTACAATATGGGTATCAAATGAAAAGGCTCGTTGATAGTAAATCGAAAAATCCAGCTAGCGATAACTAAAAAAAAATTCCTGAAAATTGCAAAAATTCCTGAAAATTGCAAAAATTCCTGAAAATCGCAAAAATTCCTGAAAATTGCGATAATTGCAAAAATTCCTGAAAAACTTTTCAATATAAAGCTTTTATTTAAACGCTCTGATTAGAAGAAAATGAAATTTTTCTTAATAATTTTAACTTATAACCTCATTATACACAATTTATATGATCATAAAAGCTTGTCGCCATGATCAATATTTAATTAAATTGTAATTTTTAAAATTTTATCAGCAGATTTTACATTATTAAATAAGTACTAGTTCATTCACACAAGTGAATCGCGCGACAAACTTTTATAATCATATAAATTGTGTATAATGAGGTTATAATAAGTTGATATTTAAAAATATTGAGAAAAATTTTATTTTCTCCTTTTGAGAGCTTTTAAATAAAAGCTCTTTATTAAAAAGTTTTTTTTACTTTTAATTTATCTTATTTCTTCTACCTAATTATCTTACCAGCTATTTTACAAAGTGATGTATGGGAATTGACTATTCTGTTTGCCATACCCAATTAAGTCATTTAATCTATCGAATATAATAATATGAAATGGATTAATTATATTCATTTGTAGGCATGATAGTTTCAATATATTTTCCCCAGGGACTGTACACAGATCAGTAATCACTCATGAAAAAGGGGTTTTTAAATAAAAATCATCAATTCATTGTATAATAATTTGAAAACAAGAATATCCTTGTTGAATTTATATTTATCTATCAAATAAAAATTGCACATACATTGCAATAAAAAAATTAAGTACCCGTGCTGCTGTGATAATTGGTATGTCAACTACCAAGTGAAAGTCCAAGTAACATGTTTCAAGTTTTTAAAGGGCTGCTCCTGGAACATGATATTTGAAGAATCTGTAACAAAAGCAAATCAGATCATTTTTTTGTTGGCTTTCAAATTTGGATGGATGTTTATTCCATAAAAGTTTGGTTATTGAGAAAAACTGAATTGAAAATAAGTGAAATGGAATATTGACAGAATATCAATCTTTATAACACCTTTTCCTATAATTAATAAATGAATCAAACAGTTTATAAGATGAATATCCAGAACCAAGGAGGCTTGTTCTTAGGTGGTAACGGCTCACCCCATGTTTAATGCAATATAGATTGCATTGCAAAATATATAACTTAGCAAAATTTTTTCTCAACTTGAGATAATTTATTGTCCATCAAACCATGGGACTGAAATGTGAGGGGATATTTTCTTTTGGGTGTATGATAAATTGACATTCATCATACAGGGCGTGGAAATGAATTCTGAATTGAGACTCTATCACGAATCTGTGATTAGAGGTCTATAAAAATCACAAGTTTCCATCGTTCAAGTTTGAACCCCCTGATTGGGTATGAAAGTGTTGAAAAGGAATATTCTCAGATAGAAGTCTGCACAAGTCTAACTTGAGGTTTTTTATTTGTTACAATATTCTACATAATTTGTTTCCAATATTTTTGATAAAACAGGTCATAGCCTTCAGGATTATCCTTCAAAATTTTTGAATTTTTTTTCTTTGACATTGGCCTCACCTTTTATAGTAGCATCAACTGGTGAGAGTGAAAATGTTAGCCCTCATTGACTTACTATAAAAAAAAATCAATAGGGATACAAGTTGAGAAATGTTAATTGAAAAGAGGAAAGGATTCTCCCATGATTTGCCTTTTGTTGTGCATGGTATAATCTTCTCAAGTTATTACTTTTTGTCACTAGATATTTTGAACCTTTGTATAAATATTGTGGAAGTCTTACTTATGGTTGAGCATTTGTGGAACATAAGGATTTCCACTTTGGGACAGTTATCTGCCACTGCCCTCAATCCTTGTTCTGTGACATTTTTACAGTCCTCAATTCTCAGTTCTTTTATTTTTGCACCACTAGGTCCAGTTACTATAGATTGAATACCTCCATCACTTATCTGAAAACAGCATGAGTTCATAACTCTTTATCCTTCCCTTATTATCCATAATCAATCTCCATTACCTGTGTACTTGAGAGAGTTAACCATGTCAAATTTCTCAATTTTGATAACTTATCCATACCCATATCTGTAATATTTACACAGCCTCCTATATCTAGACCCATTAAATTTGGACAATAATTGGCTAAAACTTCAAGAACATCATCATTCATTTGATCACAATGGGCTAACAGTAGCAAACATAAACTGTTGGTGTGCTTGAAGAGGTTGATCAAACCTAAAAATTGAAATGATCAATATACTATGTTACTCCCTATGTTAATAATTATAGGAGTGGATAGGAAGATGTTATTTTTACATTGTTCATTTCAAAAGGGTAAATAAGGAAACCTCACTTCTACCACCATTGTCCAATTGTTTTTGAAAAATGTACTTGTCTACATAATTTGAAGATTTCTATCCACTTACTATTAAAATTTCTAGTTTATATACCTGTACTTGTTATAAAATTGTTTCCATTCCTTGATAGATACAATTTTTGTATATTTTTACTGTTTGTCAATATGTTGAGAATCTCATTGTCAATTGCTATAGAAGTTAAATTAACATGATATGTATTATCATTAACAATAGCTGATAACACCTGTTTCATGTCAATATTTTTCCAGAAGTAGGAGGATGTAGTAAATTTTCTAAGAATTCTATTTTTAATATGGTAGGGCAATATCTTCAAGGATTCCATGTTATCATTGCTAAATGAAGCTAAGTTGTTCACTACATAATCGATGACACTGGAAAAAAATCATTAAATATTTCAGGCGGGTTGGTGGTGAAGGGTATACTACATGGATAACAAGGAACCAACAGAACTTCTCCAGTGTTCCTTATTCACTGAATTCAAGCCATTCATGGTCAAGGAATAATGATATTATTTGGTTTTAGAACCAGTGATATATCCTGCTCTGTTCATCCATAGTGAATTGAAAATGAATTTCAAAAATTAGAAATCTTCAGAAACCACTTAAGAAAACCAAAACAATGCAAAATCAACAACAAAACAAACGAACAATGAACAATACAAAACCCAAAAACAAATACAATTTTGATCAAAATTATTTGACAGTTTTGACTTGATAATTGACATTGAAATGTGATTAGGTAATATACTTTCATAACTGGTATTGTAATAGTGTAGGCATATGTGAGCACATTCCTGTTGTTGAGAAGAGGAAGCAATTAGCCAAACTCAATCGTCAAGGGCCAGATAGTCCTGGTAACTAAGTCCATCCAAATCGAAAAGAAGAAGGAGTCAAAGTCAGCCCTGGCCAGATAGCCCAGGTAGCTAAGGCCGTACAAATGGAAAGGAAGAAGAAGTCAAAGTCACCCTTTGTTGATGTCTTTCTAAGGTTGATATGATTTATTTATGTACGTATATTTTGGATTTGAATGTTGATTTGATTGTGAGAATTAAATAATTCAATAGAAATATATTTCAAATATGACTCAGCCGCAAAGTCGTAGCATCTGGGCATTGATAATTCGCAATTTCATAAACTCTCTTAAACCTCGACAATTTCGTGGTACTCTAATGGGGGCAGATTATTTTGGGAATAAATATTATGAAATCCCTGCTAATCCTTCAATAGGAAAGAGGAAGGCTAGTAGGTGGTTTGATCCACCTAAAAAGGAGGATTTTATGCAGGAAATGCCTGCAGAATGGGAAGCATGGCTAAGAGGCAGAAGAAAAGATCCACCAACTGAACAAGAAGTTATGCAGAATCTGGCTATAATGCAAATTAAAAAGAAAAATGCTATTGAAGTTGAGAAAAAGGCAGGCAAAATGACACCAATGATGAAGGGCGTAGAAACATTTCCCAGGAGAACTGAATATGAAACTATACCAGGAAGGAGAAATGAAGAAACTTGAACCTTCAAGTACTTACCTTTGTTGTTTATGGATAGGTGCCTAGGTAATTTATATGAATTTGCACAATTATAACCATTGAAAGCAAATAACTTGTTACTTATACTCATGCATCATTGATGGTAGTGTTTTAGTTTTATATCCCATTTCTGACACAGAGGACACAGTGTAGTGTTAACTTGTTGATATTAATGGAAAAGCTAGTTAGTAGGGTTTAGTTTCAATCTTGAATGAATATGAAGTATAATTTAACTCTCACTGATGGCGGGGGGGGAGGGTGTATCATACCCCACTAGTGATAATATTTACATACTCTCAATTAACCTGGTGATTTGTTGTTTCAGGTATTCTCCCGAGTTCTTGATACTTATCTAGGATATCTTAGTGGAGTTTTATGAAAAAATCAAACCTTTTTGAAAATTAAGAGGGATTGGGGTGTACAACATATATTATATACCTTTCACAGTTTTTTTTTTTCTATCAAGCACTTATTGTTTTACCAAAGGCACTTTTCACATGACATTTCAAGTAATTTTTACAGCCTCCAAAAATGGATTTTTATTTATGTTCTCCTGTAATGCTCATAAAACAAATAATTCCAGTTCTTTCTCTGTTGATTGGTTCACAGTTTTCATCATCAGATATTTTCACAAAATAGCATAGCAACCTCAAGTGCAGAAACTGGGAAATAAGAAGAAGTTATACCTTGCTTGAGTACAGAGGAGGATGTTCTCATGAAACCACAATGGAAATGTATCATGAAACTAGAGACATTTTAGAAGAAGAACTTAACCTCTTATAACGCTTATTTTTTTGTGATTCTAAAAAATCATTTCAAATTCCAAAAATGCTAAAATTATTCCGATATACACCTGTGCTATGCAGCAGATCCAGTCTCATGAATAATTTTCGAATTCCAGGGTACTGAAGTATTTTTAATATTTAGTATTCCAAAGAATCTTATAATTGTCCAGCATTTATATTGATGTTCCCATTATTTCAGCTTTTTCAGTGCCCGAAATTTGTCAGTCAATATTGATTATGATGACAAGGGTTCCAGATTGAATTTAAGTGAACTGACTGAGTTGATATCAGAAAAGAAACATGTACCTGCCAAATTAATAACTAATATACTTGGTAGAATCAATTTTGGTAAGTTCACAGAAAATGGCCTCAAATTCTACAATAAATTGGTCAATTTATTTACAGAAAAGCTAACTGTTGAAGAAAGCAGTTTTTTGCTGCAATGTTGTGGAGAATTCACTGCAGATACAACTAAAAAAGAAAGAGATAAAATTTCTAAAATGATTTTTAAAGGTCTCCAAAAATGTGATAAATTAAATACAGACATATACCAGACTTATATAAATGTTTGCACAGACAACAGGGTCCCTATAAATACTAAAGAATTACTGAATGATGTAAAATGTAAGCCTGATCAGCAATTATACAAATGCTTGTTGGAGAATTTATGCCAGAACGGAAATATAGAAGAGGCTTATAACTTGCTAGAACTAATGAAAAATGAAGGTTTCTTTGCTGATGAAGATATTTTCAATAGTCTGGCACTTGCTCATGCAGCAAAACTGTGAGCATACAAATTTAAGAAAAGAAATGAACATTTATTATTTGATTTATTTATGTACCAGTATTTTTCAGTGGTCTGGAAAGTGCAGAGACCATTTTGCTCACCATGAAAACAGCCCATGTTCAAATAACCAATAACACCAAAGCATCTGTTTTGCAAGGGATCCTCAGAAGAGGTAACAAGGAGGATTTGGATAAATTCTTGGAAAAGTATGCTTTCCAGCTCAATGAAAACCAACTCTTGACTGTTTTAAAAGAGTTGGGGCTGAGTCAAAATATCTCCTGGCTACCTGAGGTATACCTACTTTTGACCTACTTTTAGAGCATATTTTTTAAATAGGTACAAGGATTTCTTATTTCATTTCAGATCAGAATATTATATGATACATTAACTTTGTCAAGGGAGTTCCCAAATCAACTTAGAAATGTATGCTTACATTTGGTTCATATGGATAGATCACTGAATGCCATGACAATTTTGGAAAATTTCATGTTAGGCACTGAAAACTTTGGATTTTTCATTCTTGAAGAAATGCTCCATTGTAATCAGGTAAGTTTATTACCTCCTTATGTTAGCCTCAATGTTGTTGGTATTTATGTTTTTACAGAAAATTGATGAAATTATTTTTCTTGCACAACATATACCTTCTAGTGAAAGCAATGGATATATAATTGAGAATCTAACAGGAATAGCTCTGAAACATCAGTATACAGATGCTGCTTGGAAATTATTTGAAAATTTAAGTGAATTGAGACCACATTATTTTTGGCCTTTACTTCTAACTTATCAGCAACAAAATGGAGAGCTTGGTGAGTATACTCAAATAATCAAAAATAAAAATCATAACTAGTTGATTTGTTTGTTTCAACTTATAATAACAACTAATCAACACATTGATTCATTAGCAAAATATCAACAATGATCAATCTGATAATGTGTTTTGTTCAAGTGATATAAAGCAAAAAATTTGACTTATTGATTATCTTGAGTATCATTGGATCACTATTTTTTATAATACCATGGATTTATCTTCTCCTAGAAATATTACATATTTTTCAGGGGTGATACAAGTGGTCAAGAAGATGCTAGATAAGAAAATCAGACCAAATCATGAAACCTTGGAATATTATGTTTTACCATTTTGTAATCTAAATGATCCACATTTGCTAGTAGACAAAATCCACAAATTGGGACTTACTTTCAAAGAATTGTTGTGTCCTGCCTTGATAGTATTGTTGCAAAAAGGAGAAACTAAACTTGCTGCTGCATTGTGTAAGTTCAATATACAAAATTATTATTGATTAATTCCTATAGTTCCCATAGTGAGATCCCCTTGCTATATACTTTTCTTTAGATCATTTTAATATTTTTTCTCTGTGATGGGAAATAGTTTGAAATTTCACCTTTGTTGACAGGTTATTAAATGTCAGTTTTCATAAATTACTTTTTTTCCACAGGAAAAAAGTGAGTACTTTTCTCCCGGATATATATTTCACATGTTGATGGCCTTTGTTGTGCTATAGTTCCGAAAAATATGCCAATAGCACTGTCTCTGAGAAAGAACTGCAAGTCCTTTTATCTTCACTAAATTCACAATTTTTCAAAATCAAATCACAGAATCAGACTGACAGATATTTGATTATTTCCAGAGAATGACAAAGATGCCTGCAACACAGGCATCATTCTTGTTGAAAACTTCAAATTTCACGGTGATAATTTTCTGATTTTAATATAATGTACTATCTTCTCAATATTGATTCCTTTCTCCTGTCACAGAAAAAAATTGTGTATTATACTAGGGAAAAATATTAGAAAATCTACTACTTTTTTACCTTGTATATAAATATGTATTCATGGTATATCACACAAATCATTTATTATGGATATATTTCATATTTTCAAATTTGCTCCAACTTCAAGTTCAACTTGGATCAGTGTATCAATTTGAATTAGCTATAATAGATAAAATTTTAAACTGAACTTCAACTCCCATATTATTTTAGTAATGTCTTAATCCCCTATAATATCTCTATGATATTTCTTGATTATTTTTTAGAAGACAGCCAGTTAAATCATAATCATTATTCAATCCTCAACCTTCCTGAATAATCATATTTATTGTTGCATTATTGTAGCTATATCTCATGGTTCACATGGCTTGATAATCAACATGAACATAATTATTTACAGGTGATTCATATAAGGTATCTATTAGTGGAGGAAAACTGCTCAATTTGATTTCATCATCTTGGCATTCATCTGGAGATGCAGAATCCATTGCTATTATATTGCAAAGATACTGTGAATCATCTAGAGTAGAAAAAGATCTAGTAGGAGATTTCCTCATAATGTCATTGGAACACTGTGCAAATACCAAAGATTTTGCAAATTTCAATGATTTACTCAAGGTACTCTTTGTAATTTCATTCCTTGGTTATTGATAGTTACATCATGACTGTATTTTTTCAGGTCATAAATGAAAAAAAACTCAAGATGACCACATCGTCAGCAGATGTTCTTTGTAAGGTCTTAGATAAAAACTGCGAGGAACACATGTCACAGCAAATTAGAACAGACATAGACTTGCTTCTTGATTTCAGACTGAAACCAGAAGAGCAATTCATTACCCATCCTGTATGTTGTTAATTCTTTAACAAGTCTTTGGCTAAGCTCAGAAAAAGAGTCTGGAATTAGTTTATCTTCCATACTCTTGTCAACCTTATGGATTTGAATCTTGCATGTCCCAGTCACTTGTGAGGTGGCCATAATAAAAAAATTGGGATAATACACTCACCGGCAAAAAAAACGGCCACCAAAAAATGTTGCCAAATTGTTCACCCTGTAACTTTTTAAATTATTGACAGATTTCGGTTAAATTTTGACCAAATCGTATATACATGTTTTGGAATGTTAGCCTGTATATGGTACTAAGAAAAGCTGATGGCTTGATCATTATACAGGGAAAAACAAAAATTGACTCTTTCACCCTTAACTTCTAAACACCCTGTGGCGAAGGTGATTGATTAAACTAAGCTTCATTATGTTTTGGATTGAAGTGTGATCCCTTCTTCACACAATGGTTTCGGATTCTCGTCGATAACCACTTTTCAAGAGAAGATACAAGTGTTTTAAGAAAGCATGGATTTTTTTTCTCTGTCCTTCAAGGAGATTTTTAGGCAATTCTTCAAGACAACTTTAGTAATTTGATCAACTCGATGCCACGGCGGTTGAATGCCTTGTTGAATGACTCGTTATTGACTATATTATACAGTTCTACTTTTTGTTTGTTTTTAGAAATTAAGATTTTTTTCTGTAAGTGCTAAGAAAATGAGTTCGAAATATGTGATATTAATTCTTCAAGTTGTTAATCAATAAGTTTATGTAGGTTCTGATTATTATTAAAACAACAATTAATGAAATTTGAAAAATGCCATACTTTCTAAAAATACTTGTATCTTCTCTTAAAAATAAGATATTGACGTGATTCAAAAACTATTGTGTTAAGAAAGGATCACACTTCAATCCGAGGTATAATGAAACCAAGTTCAACCACTCAATTTTGCCACAGGGCGTTGAGAAATAAAGAGTGAAATAGTGACTTTGATTTTTCCCTGTATAAACATCAAGTCATCAGCTTTTCACTCAAACTAATATTCATGCTAACTTCCGGAACATATATCTACGATGTGATCGAAATTGCACAAGAATGGGACAAGGATTGGAAAAGTTACAGGGTGAACAATTCTACCAATTTTTTTTGGTGGCCGGTTTTTTTTTGCCGGTGAGTGTAGATCAATCACTGCATAAACTCCTATCATTTATCCAAACTGAATATCAGTGATTATGCTATTAGTCCAAGAGCCGGCTGCAAATTTCCACCGTCATCTGATAAGGAAGTGATATAAATATGTCCCAAAGGCATGTATCAAGCCAAAATAATTATACTTTATTGTCTGAAGAATAAAATGTAAAAACTTTGTATTTTATCGAACGGCACCTGTGTCAATCACAATCCTGAGCAAAATGATAGAAAAATGGCACTTTCCTATGTGGTAATTTGCATTTAATTTCGCGATTTGATAAAGAGATGAGAATTATGTTATCTGATGCCCATTGAGTTGTAGATCTCAGAAACCTACATCTGCCTTAATCTTAGTCAAATCCACGGCACAGCGATTTATTTGCTGCTATTCCGGACATACTTCCGTCATGTGATAACAAGTCGTAACAAAAAGCAAATAAATGATAATGTAACGTTTCAGCAAATGTCACAGCAACATGTAATATTGCTGCAATGTTGCATTATCAAATTTCACCTTTGCAATATTGCTGAACGTCCGTTCCAGTTATAGCTTCAACATTGCATAAACATAACTTTCAACTTTGCTTAGTGGGGGAGTGAATCCAAAAAAGTAGTTTTGAAAAGAGATAAGGCTAAACTGTACCTATGAATTCAACTTGATAACATAACTGTTAAACTCCACAGGGTATTACAAATTTCATAAAAAAATATATAATAGCTACACTCGGTATTCATAAAAAAGAAGTTCTTATGCCAAAACAGTTTGCACACCAATGTTGAAATAACTTGTCATTCAAAACAAAAAACGTCCAAATCGGATAAGTAGTTTTGACAAAAATGTTTCCTAAACTTTTGGCTAGTTATGATGGTGTGTTAATTTCTGGGAAAAGGGTATTTATTCTCAAATATATCTTATTATTTCATTCAGCACAATGTATCTTTTGAAATATAACTTACGTTTCTATCATGTGTCCCACTCAAAATGATCCACCCTGAACCTTTTCCCCTGGATTATACGGATTTTAGTTATTGACCAATAAGTTGAAGAGTAAATCAGGGTGGATCGTCTTGAGTACTTTTTCTAGAGCTGATGCATAACAGAAATATTTGTGTTAGAAGTGGAAAATTAATTTACTCTTTCAGAGGGACATGACGTTGGAGGAATTGGAATGTCACTTGATAGAGCTGGAGGAAAAAAATATGCAGACCAGAGGTGTGCTGAGAAAATTGATAGGAGATCATGCCAAGTCGGGAAATGACGAGAGGGTGAAACAGCTATTGGACCGCTTCTTGGCAGCTGGATATTCAGAAACGCCCGGAATGAAATGTATGGTGATGTATAGTTTCGTTAAAGGTGGACACCTTCAACCTGCACTGAAGGTCTACAATGAATTGAAGGAAAATGATCCCACATTTTCCGTGGATATTTTCAAAATACTCGATTTGGCCACTCTATTAGTGAAAAATGGCAGATTCAGTCAGGCTTTTGAAATTTTGCAGCAACATAGCAAGTCCAAGTAAGTTATGGTTAAGACATTCAATGACTTCATTTAATGTAGTTCAGATTGTTGAAATACCTTACGTTTTTGTAGAATTTTCGGAGGACTTCTGTTGCAGAGGAATTGCCTGGAATTGCTGAAAGCCTGCGAAAATGAACAAGAACAAGCGAAGATGTTCAATTTTCTTATTGAAAAAGGTTTTTGCAAAGTCACAAATGTTATTTTGGGACCTTTAGTAAGGATCCATCTGAAAGAGTAAGTAGTGGTCATCCTGTTGAATCACATTAACAAGCAAATTAGGAGCATCCCGATGGTATGAATGAATATTGTTTTAGTGGAAACTTACAGAAAGCAGTTTCTGTTTACATCAGTTTTGTAGAAAAATACAGATTCACTCCAATAAAAATGGAAATCATTAAAGAGATAGTGAGATCTAGTGATGAAAATTTACTTCAGAGAGTATTAGACGTCACCATAAAAATCCATGGAAAGACTTCTACACAAGCCGTATTGATAATCGCCCTTGCCGAAGAGGGAAGGGAGAAAATTCTGCGGAAAATTCTCACTGTAAGTTGCACCAGGATTGTTCTTGATAGGTTTGTTCGCGTTCACAAAATTAACAGAACTAAACCATCAGAAGCATGAGTATTGACAAATTAGTGTTGGCGTTTTCTCAGGACTATTTCGTATTCGCGAGATTCACGAAGTGGGCGACATCTAGGTTACATAATACAAACTTCAAACTGGGGGAAAACAAACTGTTGTCTTTCTATGGATAAAGTGCATAGACTACATTGCATTCAGCTTGCTGTAGCTGTAGTCAAACTCATCAATGACATAAAGTGTTGGCACTGTTGGTTATAGTGATGATGGTTGAGTTGGTTAATTTTTTTACATTATTAAATTTTTATTAGTTCAGTGAACAGTGAACGGGTGAAGAATTGAAGATAGTTCAAACAATTCAAACAAATTATGACGAGCAAATCAATCGACATATAAAAGAACAGCTACAACATGTTTACAATACCCAGATTGCCCTGCTTTGCATGAAGAAATACAAATTCATTGTTATACAGGAGTTCCTCTGGACCCCAATTGCAATTTCACTTCATGTGAGGAAGATTTCATCGTCGAAGTTTGTTGATAAAGTGCAAAAATGTGCCTTTTGTTGAAGTCTTCTGCCTCACACAAAATCACATGATTAGCACGGAGAACTGCTTCTCCTTCCACTACTGGTCGGCTTTTTCCGGCTAAATAGAGCAAAATGTCTGCCAAAAGAACATCTACAACAGGCATTATTAGCGTTTTCGATCGAATATTGACAATTAATGTCAAGAAATTCAAAAACTTATCACTCTTATCAGTACACAGTACACAAGCTAATGGCACTAATGGGATCGAGTGAGGATTGAGTTTGTTTTCCCCAGTTTTGACGTGGCTTTGACATGGAACGATGAAAACCGAGCGCCACCTGGTGACATTGATTCCCGCGAATTCCACAGATCACGTGTTTTCGTTTAAAACGGACTAGTTTGGGATAGTTTCAAATCAGTCCAAAGCATCAGTACAAGCCTCTGGGCAAGAACTGCCTATGACTGTCATGAATAATTTTGGTGCGCATGCGTTTATGCAACATATTTTTAACCTTTAAGCGTTCTTAGTTGAGGGATACACTTTCAAACAAAATGAAGAATGGAATTATAGAAAAAAATCAATCAAGACGTTGAACAATGGGCATAAGAGATCTAGCTCATCATCCTATATCTTTAAGTTCGGATAATGATAAAACGTTTTTGAACTGTTATCTGCTGAAAATCCTCAGAACCAATCTGGAGAATATGGTGGTTTAGAATGAATCTGTAGGAATATTTTAGTGGGAAACGTTTATGTTCGGGTAGGATTATTTCATGTTAACATCAACTAACATCAATATGCCCTCGATGCACGTGAGTCAAAACATAGCATATTTTCGAGAAAGAAGATCAGAAAACGGGAAAACGCGATTTCGTTAATCTGGTTTCAAAACTATCCCATACTTGTTTAGGATTGAATTTGATGCGCACCTGATTCTGCGCAGTCCGAGGACCGTTTCAACTATTTGGAACACGAACAAACCTATTGTATCTACTGAATTCCTATTCACTGCAGCTGAACAAATTGCCTGTGAAAAACGAACTAAACAAGTGGAGCGAACGATTGGCCAAGGAAGGGAAAGTTGAAGCTCTGAACACTTTGGCTAGTTGTTGTGAGAGATTACCCAAGGAGATTATTGACATAACCCTGATATATGAATGCATCATGAAAGTTCACAGTAAGTTCTCTATGGAAGTTATGCTCCACTTTGATGCTCATTTGAAATTTTTTTGTTCAAGAAAGTTTAATATGTGTATAATAGTAGTTTAACATATTAATGTACAAATATCATTTCAGGTACAAATAATGATTGCCAATCAGCTTTGAAGTTATACAATTCTTTAATGGAAAATGAGATACCCACAAGTAAAAATCTGGAGGAGCAGTTGTGTAATTTACTTAGACATAATAAGTGTGATATACCAGAAAAGTTGAAAATAAATTATTGCTGATAGTTGGCAAATGCTATTTCCTTAAAATAATAGACAATTTTGTAAGTTCATATTTATATTATTTGATAATTCATGGATCTCCAGACTAGTAAAAAGTGAATGTATATCAAACTAATATATTCAAATGTATTGAAATCTCCGAAGCATCCTGAATTTTTATATCAAGGACAGATAACTGTGCCTCTTGATGAATATTACATAGATCCTCAAGGCAAATTTGAAGTAAATTCTTAAATAACCTCAGGTATATAATATCAAAAAGTAACAAATTCATGTGAATAAATATCAATTTTCTTGTAAATATATATCTTAGAATTCAACGCCATACTACACTGTTTACTACTGACCAAACCGATTTTTAAAACGCCTAGGCACGCGTTTCTCCTGAAGATGATAACATAGAAACTGAAACACGTGTAGATTCGTTCAAAAAATCGGTTTGGTTATTGGTAAAACAGTGTCGAGCCTTAAACTGTGACTGTGACAGTGCCAAACACGTTATTAAAAAAAGTGGAAACACTATGGAACAACACTGGATTATCCATACTTTTTATTTTAAAAATATTAATGGTAATATGCACATTAAAATAAAATAACACTGACTGTACATATTCTATGATACAGAACAGCATGACGGGCTGTAGAACACTATCAGAATAAAATATATCACACTGTTCTTTTTCAACAAGATCTCCAGTAAAGTCTAATACACCTATATACACTCCATTCTTCAGCCCCACTCATTTTCTGATGACTTCCGGAATAGTTTCTTGAATATTTGATATGTTTTAGGCCTTCTAAATTCCTCCTGATCTATAGCTATGATTAGTTTTTGAGCTATTCAGTGCTTTATTCGATTATTAAACATATAGGAAATGAATCAGGAACTAAGAGATATCAAATTTTCAGATTAATCAGCTGAGATAGAAAAAGTGATTACCATAGAAAATGAGATTCTCCATTCAACACATTTTTTCAACGTGCTAATTCATTAAACTGTAATAAATGATAATTTACATTCCAAAAAAATCCTAAAGCAGAATGAAATTTTCTCCGAATACAAACTTTAATAACAAAAGGTAACTGAATATTATTTCTAGGTTATTTTCATTTGGTTGACTTCCATTTCCCAAAAACGCGATCGGTATTCACATATTATGATTTAATGAAGATAATCTTATAATAATTATAACATAACAAAAATTCGAAAGTAACAAAAAAAATATAATGTATAAAACAAAGTTCAAATGAATGGAGACGCAAAAATCTCGGATGAATAATTTAAGTAGACAAATCAGGTCACCAAAATTCTTGTAATTTCGAAATTATAATAATATATCTTCTGTATTTATAATATTCTGCTATAAGGAGTATATCAACAAACTAGTATAGTCATATGAGCCATCTGTTCAAATTGGCAGGATTGTCTTTTTTGTAATGATATCACTTGAGCCTCTCGATCAAATCATTATCTAAAAAAGGAAAGCGCTCTACAATTTCCAACAATATCTACGATCTGTGACAAGGTCTTTAGTACCAGGAATAATTGTAAAATTCCCTGTCTTCAGTCGCTAACATTTGCAATATAATTTTGTTGTAGTTGGTAACTTATTTCAAATTTAAAAAAGTCTAGATAAAGATTATTTGCAAATAATCAAAACAGAAATATCTCCTGCCTCGACTGTAGCGTCCTGCAATATATTGATTAGTTGTTTCAAAGTTAGTATTAATATTGATTTATCCATATAATATATTAAAATATTCAGTCTGTGTAAAATACAGGGCCGATCCTAGGGTATTGGCCGCCCGCGTGCAAATACCAGATGTGCTGCCCCCCAGAGAATTTTTTCTCATTTTGACTAATATTTAACGTTGACATTATAAAGTCTCAAACTCATTTTTCAGTGTAACGTCTATTTCACACATAACGATGGGACATACTCAGTGCGTATACAGCTTTGTTCCATGGGAGGGGAAGTAATTCGTGGCGCGAGGGTGACGGAAAACAGGAAAGCGCCGCTGGCGAAATTATTTTTCTGTTTAAGGTCAATTGCCTTTGAATTGATAGTTAGGCTGTAGTTTTGTAATTTTTTCGTTTTTGGGAAAAATTTGTTTAGATATTCAATCGTTGTGTGTGAAAGTGAAATAAGTGTAAGAAGTGAAACAAGAGTAAAACTTCAAATAAAATTTGGAAACTTTATTTTTTTGGACAGCTTATGAATATGTTAATAACAACAAAATATTTTATCGAAATAAAAACAAACAATAATATCACCTCTGCATAAAAAAAGTTATCAAAATAAAAACAAACAATACTATAACCTTTGCATAAAAAAGTTCCAACTCAACATTCAACGAAAAGTACATAAATCTGTTGTTCAAGAGTCTACAGACTAGGTACCTAATCATTATAATTACCTAATTATAAAATAACCTTTCTGGCTTTCTGAGCGGCAAATTTATCAATAATTTCCGTGAAATCTATTTTTTCACAGATTTCGGATTCAATAGAAATGATGGCCAAATCTGAAAGCCTTTCTTGTGTCATATTATTTCTCAAGTAATTTTTAATAATTTTCAATTTGCTGAAACTTCTTTCTCCTGAAGCCACAGAAACAGGTAAGGTTAAAAAAATTCTTATTGCTAGGGCAAAATTCGGAAAACAGGAAATGAGGTCATTTTTGACTATGATTTCTAATACCTCAATTGGCTGTTTCTTAACTGAAAAAATATCTTTGAATGAAGTAATTTCATTAAACAGTTGTATACCGTCTATATCTTTCACGATACTTCCTTCCTCCTGTACCTGTAACTTAATATCTAAGTCCATGCAGGCTTTCATGAGATCATCACTAGACATGTTGTGAAACTCATACAGAAAACAGAATATTGAAAAGCACTCAGATAATAATGTAAATCTTTCATTTATCGAACAGGTCGCGAGATCAAGAATTGCAAAATAGAAAGAAGTCTTGAATTGCTCATAAGGATTTAAAAGGGGTTGATCACTGCCCTCGTAATCAAATAAACGGACCTTCTTCCTGGGCCTCGAATTTGGAAATTGGGGATCAATACCTAAATCTCTAGCAAGTGTTGTGGCTGATTCGACAAATATTTCAAAATTATCGTTTGATCTTTGTGAAACAAAATATTTTTTTAAATTATCTAAGCCCTCAATGCATTCCGCGATGTTTAATTTAGGATTTTGAAGCATTTTACTCAGAACATTAATTCTTGATAATAAATCATGCCAAATCAAAATTGAACACAAAAATTTGAAAGACTCAAGATTTTTAATTATTGATTTTGCACCATTTTTTGTTTTCGCGTCTCTGGTGGAATCTTCAATTAAAGCATTTAATGCAGTAATAATGTTTTTGAGGTCTTGCTTTAGAGGTCTAATAGCATTGATACGACTTTCCCACCTTGTTTCACTCAATGGTTTCAAAGTAAGACTTTTCACGTATTTTTTCAGTAAATCCCATCGATATGGGGACGCAGAAAAAAAATTATATACCTCTTGTACTACATCAAAAAATCCATAAATTTCACCACTGGAGCTGGCAGCGTCATTAACGACGAGGTTCAAGGTATGAGCCGCGCACGGCACGTATAATGCTCTAGGATTGATATCGAGAATCCGTTTCTGAAGCCCTATATTTTTTCCCTTCATGTTCGAACCATTGTCGTAGCCCTGACCACGTATATCTTTAACTTCGAGCTGCAGACTAGGTAATAGTTTCTCTAATAGAAAATTGCACAGACCTTCTCCAGTGGTATTAGTTACTGGAAAAAATCCCAGAAAAAATTCTAAAATATCTACTTTACCATCAGTAGTGTTCACACATCTAATTACAAACGTTATTTGTTCTGTATGACAAATGTCGGGCGTCGAGTCGAGAATTATAGTATAATATTTGGCTTTTTTGACAATGCGTGTTATCTCATTACGAACAGATTCGGCTAAAATATTAATTATTTCATTTTGAAAATGCTGCCCTAAGTAGTGCGGGGTACGTTTTTTTTCATCTTTGTATTTACAGATATTATTGAGGTGTTCTGAAATAACTGGATCAAATTTGGCCAACATCTCTACTGCCTTTAAAAAATTACCATTATCTCTATGATACAACTCCGTACTACTTCCTCTGAATGCTAAATTTTGACTGGCTAGAAATTGTACCACAGCAATCATTCTTTCAATGATAGCGCGCCATCGCTTTTTTTCTCTATTGTAAACATTTTGTTGTTCCGCGTCAATAGTACAATTTTTTTCCATCCTTGTCTTTATTTCGCACCACGATCTTATAGAGTGAATGTGTTTAAGAGTATTTTCATGCTTATTGAGGTAATGCGAACAATGACGCCAATCAGAAAAGCCAGTACTTACAATTTGTGTTGAATTATCCCTACTAAACAATCTACATGCAAAACAAAAAATACAATTTAGTTTAATGGAATAGCAGAGCCACGCGCGATTTATTTTCTCTCCGTTCACTAAAGTTTTGTTATAATATGAACTGCTAAATCTTCTGCCACTCTCATCAACTGGGAATTTGAAATCTGTAACTTGTTTGGGACCGTGTTCTACCAATAAATCAATATATTTTTGCGTCAAAATGTTAGGCCAAGAACCTGGATCATCTAGAGCTAGTTGAGCAGAGCTCTCTTCCTCTTTGCTCTCATCTTCACATTCACTGAGAATGGGACTGCTTGATGATGATCTTGCAGCTTCATCACCTTCATCGGGTGTGAAATCTATTGATTTATTGTTCGTTCCACTAGAACTGGAGGATGACTCCGCGATTTGATTCAAACCTTTTTGTTCAGGCTCATCCGGTTTTCCAAAATACTTTTTTAGTGCTCCCGCTTGTTTTGAGATTTCTTCTATTCTTCTTTTCTTCTCTTTTCTATAGAAGGCACCTGACTCTCTTTTAGTCTTTCTAATGTTTTTGGACGAGGACGACATCTAAAGGTAAAAGGTAAGATGAACGATAAGTATATCATGGCTCACAGATGCACAGATACAATGAATAGGAATTCTTCAGGAATTTTTAAATTCATCGAAATGATCTCTGTATATCTACCATTGTTAATACATTTTTTTTGCTTGAAGTGTAAGTATATTATTCATAAGAAACTCCATTCCTGTTGAAAAATTCAGAGTAAATTATTTAAAATAAATAATAATTCGTAGCGCTCTCTCAAAATCTGGGTACGAATTAAAATTTTCATAAACTTCCCCGATTGGTAACTTATATAATTTTGTAGGAAAATTATATTTTGTGCTAACGAAATCTGAAAGAATTGAAAATAAATTTCGAATTTTCTATCATTCTGTACTTATTTTCAGAACGAATCATCGCGACAAAATTAGATTAAAAATATGCCCACTTTTTTATCTAATTAGAAAACACCCTGTACAACATTTCATTCGTTCATAATTCTAGTTAAGAGCTTTGGTACTTACCACAGTTGCACAGTTCTGATTTAAACAATACTCAACAGATACACCTTGTCACTAAATTCCACTTGCACCTGATTGTGTTTATGACCAGTGTTATTGTATGATGAATCGTAATTAAATGAACATTTTGAAATGAAAATGGTTTATATATAGTGGTGAAGTAGCAAAAAAAATACGATGCCGCATCCCTTTCTTTGTCGAAACAATCAATTTCTTATCTATAAGGAAAACCGCTAAATTAAAGTTTCTTTTGACCATTGACCTGGAAGCCGCGTGCCGACTATGATATTTATTTAGTCATTATACGAAGTAAGTTGTCACAGCGAAAAAAAATTCAAAGGCGGCCGCAGCGGCAAAACCTTTGAAAGGCCGCTTCGCGGCCGCCTCTTAGTTTGGCCGCCCGCGTGCGGTGCACGCGCTGCACACCTGCTAGGATCGGCCCTGGTAAAATATAAAGGATATGTACACACTTCACCTATTTTCCTACACTCCCCCACTCCGCGACAGGCACTCGATCGGTCAAGAACGTCGCTACTTGTCAACCGTCAGAGGAGAAACTGCTCCTGGTCGACGATCCGGCCGGCAGATCGACCAGATCTGGCGGCAACACCAGAGGCGTGATGGGCCCGTAGATTCTCTCTTGCTCGTCCAGCTGTTGAGCGAACGCCTCTTCCAGTTTCTACAACACCAAAATCCGTCAAATTCACACCACCATTTACCAAGTGGTCAAGGGGTAACATTTAGGCATTCATTCTTGGTATCATCATGTATATAGCACAAACATTATTCTCCCTATTGATGTCGCGAATTTGTGGGAGAAAAGGCTATCAAATGAAAGAAATCAATCACAATTGCCGACTACAATTTTCACAAAAATAGGTAGTTTAATAGATATTGATGTGCATCAGAAACTTGATGAAGATGAGTTTAATCACTCACTTTTGCCACAGGGCGATAAAGAAGTTGAAATAGTAACTTTTTGTTTTTTCCTGTATAATGATCAAACCATCAGCTTTTTTTTGGAAATAAAATTCAGGTTAACATTTCTAAACATAAATCTACGATTTTGTCCTAATTTTACCAAAATCGGACGAAAATAAAAAATTTTACAGAGCCATCAATTTGGCGAATTTGTTTTTTGTCGGTGAGTTTAGTTTGTTTCAGTTAAACAGATGAGAGCCAACAACTATTTTGAATAAAATCAACAAGTCTTTTTTGTTACACCCTTGAAACCTTATTTCATTCTATAACTTTCAAAATATCACGCCGAACTTTTCATTTCAAATTGCAAATTTGTCCTTGGTACATTAACAACTATTCGATATAATTCAAAACAGTTCTTGTTCCATCTCCTTTTAAATTAACCGATGAATCATATGGTAAGTATATGAACTTGGACGTTGTTTATTTTTATCTCCATTTCACTAGTTTTCTAAGCCACACCAGAAAAAAATACACTTTCGTCACAGCTTGAATAAAAATGCCAACTATTTGTTTGGTAATGAAGAAGCATTAGTAAAAGTACGCACCTGTGATTATGGGTTTGTTGATGAACCTTACGATAACACGATAAGGTGTAAGAACAGATGCGGCAAACATAAATAAATAATAACAAAAACTACAAAAAAAAAACAACAAGGATAGTTATTACAAAACACTGGGAAGAACAAAAACAGGGGTGTTTGTCGAGCATCTGAAAGAACTTAATTACTGTCAGTAGTGTGATCCTGTACTGGGCACTTCAATCTCTCTTCGTTTTCACTAGATCAACAATAAAATGGAATTAATATTAGTAACATTTGGAACTGATAAAACTTTAATTATTCCATATTTCGAAATTAAAAATCAAAATATAATGCATATTATCATGATGATTCATTATTCAGCTAGAAAACTAATAAACTGCTCTTTATGACAGGAATGCTTTGATACTTAATACATCTATATTTACAAGTCGGAGAAAATGAGAGCACTCACAAGTTTCGAGCTCTGTTCTTGAATCATATCATTTGTGACATAATTTATAATGATTTGAAGTGCACCATTCACCCCAAGAAACCACCAAAGTTGAAGAGTACGATGCAGATCACTACTGAAAAACAAGATCGATATCGAACTTCCCGTTCAATTTCAAATCGACATTAGCAGCAAACACCTCCACACAAACGGACAGGACCTGAACAAAAAAGAAAAAAAAAACAAGGAGGAAAGGAGGAACAAACACTAAGCGAGGGAATCGTGTTTGGGACCTGACGAGGAGGTCGTAAAAGCGAAACTGCGGCCGGGAGGCATCACCCCCGTGCTCCACGTCCGCTGGTGGCCCCAACTGGGCCGGGGGGAGCCGCCCTCCCCCTGACCCGAAGGGCTCGAAGGGACGGACGAGGCGCCCTGAGCCACGTCGGCGGACGAACCGCCCTGAGCCGTATCGGTGGACGACGAGCCCTGATCCGGGAACAACACCGTGGGCAAATAGTCCGCGTATGTGGCGGCACGCATCGCCCTGTACAGCTCCTCTTCCAGTTTCTGTGACAAGGTATAGGGATGCGTGTTAGTTAGCTAGCTAGCGGGCAGAGTTGGGCGGCAATGGTCGGAGCAGAAGTGGAGGAGTTTATTTCAGAGGTGAGCGTTATCAGTATTATTATTATTATTATTGCTCGAAAGCGGGTAGACACATGATTCCAGAGCAGCATAATCATCTGAATTTTTCAATTACGGACATAGAATTATTTCTTTAGTTGAAATAATGGCCGACACTAAATGGTATGGACATTTCTTTGAAGTATTTTCAAGGAAACATATTAAAAGAACTAGATTTCATAACAAAGACATCTAGGATGGATACAGTTGCTTTCCGCGTGGCGGCACTAGTGTGAATGTGGGTCACCTGTCATCTACATTCTATATGACATAGAATGCATGAAAATTAAATAAATAAGAAGTTGGGTTGAGATTATTTATGAGCTTTCATATTCAAATTTCACCAGTCCAATCTGTTTCAAGTTTTCCAGATTATCTGGGATTGACCATATTTTCAAGGGCTAGAAATTTACTTTTGTAATGATGTCGTCAAAAGTGAATAAACTAGACGCAACGGTCATTTAGTTTCTATTAAATCAAGAGCTGGTGTACTATTAATTAGAGAAACAAAAGACTCATTTTGACACTAGTTGCTGCCATCACATAGTAGAAGATGCCTGACACTTTTCAGGTGAAATATAGTAAATTGGCACCAATACCGTAGTATAATGGAATAGATCCAATTAAGGTTCCAGTCATCTAAAGCCAACTCTTGCAATCCCTGTGGTTGAACCTGAATAAAAATTGCCCCAACTATCCTTTTATAGAGGATTGCATAGTACATTTCAGTTAAGAATAAAGTGCCTACCATGAGTGTCGTTAATCAAACATTAAAATTGCAACAAATATATGACATCGTTTCTCATCGACATCCGGTCCACTCCAAGATACTATACCCTCAATCTCTATCACAAATATTGTTATTTTGTTATTCACTCAGAAACTATAATTATTTCATTCATATTGTATGGTGCCAACTATATTCGCCAACCTTGCAATTATTCTCGAGAATTTGTATTTGGCGGGTTTACTAGTGTAGAGTAGATGTAGAGCAGACTCTGTTATCCATGCCATCTACTTTATTCTTATTTGGAATATACCACCATTCTGTGAGATATAACGGTGGGGTTGCCGATATTGAACAAGATCCTCGTGTTACTTATGACGTTAACATAAAAACCCCTTCGTTTCTATGTTTGAATGTGTTCTCAACTATCTATTAACAAGGACAAAGTGCATAATTTGTTTTTTTGTAACTTGAACAAGTCTTTAAATCACTAATTTTGAAAAGTAACAATGTCTATCATGGATAAATCCAACCCGGGAAATTTCCGAAACAATTTTACTAAAATGAAATGTTTGTACAACTGAAATTAATAAAGATCTGTCACACAATTAATGTTTATACCTGCTTCCTGGGCTTCAGCTTAGCCTTCCACTCCTTGAACTCTATGCTGAAGGCCTCTTCGCGCTGCTTCAGCTTGAGCGTTTCATGTTCCAACAGCATTTTGCGCTTCTCGTTCTGCAGCTGCTCCAGCTCCTTGATGGTGGCATCGCTCATCGCTCGCAGCTCCTCCAGCTGCCGCTGGTGCTTCAGTTCGAAGCGCTGCTGTTCCGCCTGGTAGCGTTTCTTCTCCTTATCTTGGAACTGCACGTACAGGGTGATCGTTTCAGATTAAACAGTCGTGATTATTTCTTCGATTTGCTTGGATTAGATCGGGATTTCGATGAAATATCGTGAAAACTTCCATGGAAACAGAACATGGAATGATAGAATGTAATGGCTGCAGAGGGGTGACGTACAATTGATTTGAATCGTAGCTCTCAGGGCGAAGTCAAATGGTAAGAACTTCGGAACTCTCAGAAAGAAGGGCAATCACATCTGGTGTGCCACAGGGTTCTGTGTTAGGCCCAATTCTGTTTTTGTTATATATTAATGACTTGACTACGATAGATATATCTGGCAGCTTTACTCTCTTTGCGGATGATACAACGATATTGTGGAAGGAAAAGAACTCGGCAGAGCTACATAAAAAGATATCATCAGATGTAGAAAAGGTAAAAAAATTGGTGTGATGCTAATTTGTTATCCTTGAATATCTCCAAAACAAATATAATAACATTTAAATGTCTGCTAAATGAACTCTCAATAGGCAATGATATCTTGGAAAATAGACTAAACACAAAATTTCTTGGTGTATTCATTGATAATAAGCTTAAATTTGATGAACACGTTAGACAGCTCAAGAGTAAAATCTCATCCGGATGTTATGCAGTGAGAATGGTTTCTAATGAGTTGGGTTTTCACACAGCAAAAACGGCTCACTACGCTTTAATTGACTCTCAAATAAGATATGGAATACCTTTTTGGGGAACATGCAGTGCAACCCTTCTCTCTTCTGTGTTGATATTACAGAAAAGGGCTGTAAGGTGTCTCTGTAAGGTCAAACCTAGGGATTCATGCAGGAATTATTTTGCTGCCAATAAGATTTTAACTGTTGTTGCACTGTTTATTCTTGAAACTGTATGTCTGGTATACAAACACAAAACGGAGTTTGACTTTGTTTCTTCTCCGTATGCTACTCGTAATAGCATATTTAATATCAGACTTCCCATACCCAACTCAACATTAATCAAGGATTCCATTTTTTATAATGGTGGAAAGCTTTTCAATCACTTACCAGTAGATATAAGATCTGCAAATCTGACCAATGTGCATTTTAGGAAAGCAGTGAGAAATTTGCTAGCTGATAGACCTTTTTATAGCCTACAAGAGTATTTTAATGAATCCTTTCGAAAATATGTGTAATCTATTTTACTTTTATTGTATTTGTACTTGATTTATTCTAAAATTTTTTGTTACTTATCTGTTCATATCTATACACTATTAGTTATGTTTATATTTACATGTACCTACAAACCTTTGTCAATGGGATGCAAAATCTTCTGACAATAAAGAATATTTGAATTTGAATAAATTTTTATATCCAGTGACCCATTTGAAAGCGAGCCACCCTCCTAAATTTTTCATTTATGGAGCGAATTTCATGAAGTTTTTTTTTTTTAATGTAGAGGGAGAGAAGGTGTGTTCTGGATCTCTGCGACGTTCACTTTTTTAAAAACCAAGGCTTACTAGATCGCATTCCGAGACTGAAAAATTCAGAATCCATATTAGTCCCATGACTCGATGCCCATAGGTTATGGGCATATTCCTTGAACACTTTCAAGTCGTATCGTTTTATTTGCAATGTTTCCGATTCCACTTGTTACTTTTCATTCCGTCTCACTACAAGGAATGACGTGGAATGACTGTTGACAGTTGTCAAAAAATGAAATTAGATTGACAGAAAACGAAACTTTTTGAAAGTAGAAGACATTTTTATCGTGAGGTTCACAAGTTCATGATTCTTCCAAGTGAAACAGGTTTCATATCTTCATTCCCAGATAAAATGAATTCTCTGGATCTCAGATAACTTTCTCCAATCACCGCAATCACTGCTCTAAATATGCGTTGATTCATTTTCTTGATTTTCAACTGTAGTATAATGATATAGATGTATAGAAAGTAAAATCGTATCATCACTTCCTATTGAAAGGAGTTTAAATCTCTCAATACTTTGTAAAAATAGCGAGACGTGGGAGAATCTTGGTAAATTTCCGAAGTTTGAAACCAAATTTACAGGCATCATGTGAAAAAAGTTGAACAAAAAATCGATTTTGCCATAAAAAAAATCTTCCGATTTCAAGAAATCACCTCTTTGAATCTGTTCTTCTCGAGATCGGGATCGCCTGCGCCCACGGACACGGAAATCCGCATCGATTCCCTGAACATGGCCTCACGCGCCTTCATCTCGGCCCGGATGCGCTTCGGCAACGACCGCCGCTCGATCTGCTGCTTCTTGAGTAGCTCCTCTTCTTTTCGAGAGGCCCGCCTCTTGATCTGCTCCTTCTCCTTTTCGTGCCGCGTCAACATTTGGTGTCTCTGCAGAAAGACACAACGACAATCGTACGGATTCTCAACGAGAGAGAAATAAGAGTTGAGAAATTGGTAGTCACTAGATGGTATTAGTTAGATAAGAGTTCGGACACAGCTGAACTTTTCTATTTTCTATATTACAATTATTGTTTGAGTGAATGAAAGAATAAGACATATATTCTGCTCTCTGTCTTTTCAATTTCCCTAGTAGCTCCGGATTGTCAGAAACGATTTTAGAGGTTAGATTTTCTGTCAAATCATCGTAGATGGAAAATAAGAATTGGGTATAAACATCCACTTCAATTTATATAGCAAAACACTTTTCGAAGAACAATAGTTATAAAATTGGAAAGAATTCATGTAATAACATTTTAATATGACAAAATAGACACATAAAAGGTGTTTTTAGAATAAGTGCACATATTCAGCACATCAATATGATACAGTCTAAGGAATATTCCCATGATATCAAATTTTTTCTAATTCTTCTAATTAACGAAAAATGTCATACCGAAAATTGAACAAAAAACGAAAAAAAAATCAAGTACACCACTTTAAAACAATTTAAATAACTGAACTCCGCGTGATTATGCCTACCACATGGAAATTTGAACAGAGGTGACGTCAGATATGCTACAGTGTAGAACTTTGGGCGGCGGAAAAAGTGTAGTTTTTCAAATCAATTCCTCTTTCTCTATGATAATTTTGTTTTGCATTTCGTCTGATGATATTGGATTTTTTTTTCAATAGTCTGTTTTGTGAATCAATGGAACAGCTTGTAATATAGTTTCAATCTAATCTGCCATCATAATCATGAAACTAGACAATATAACTTGTTCCATCTTGACGCCGCTAGCTCCCTAATCGGACAAAAAAGATTCACTCATTCAGCCTTAACTGAATTCAATAAACTACCTGATAATATAAAAAATTGCAGGAATATAGTTATATTCATCTGTCTGGAAGTTATTTGTTCAATAAATAAATAAATAAATAAATAAATAAATAAATAAATAAATAAATAAATAAATAAATAAATAAATAAATAAATAAATAAATAAATAAATAAATAAATAAATAAATAAATAAATAAATAAATAAATAAATAAATAAATAAATAAATAAATAAATAAATAAATAAATAAATAAATAAATAAATAAATAAATAAATGTAACCTGTCAAATGTTGCCTGTCTTCAAATTAATTTTTCATCCAAGCCGTTTCATACACTCCTTCTTTAAGAGAATGGTTGATATTTCCTTTGGAAAATCGAAGAAATGAAATCGCCATTCCGTTCAGAATTCCCACACAACAGGATGTTTTCATTTATGCTTTTTTCTCAACAGTTTATGAAATTATATTTCAATTCTGACGTTCATAATATTTAACGGAACGACTGATGTTGTCACAATGCAAGGTGTGTAACATAATAAATCTAAACATTCAAAAACACTAACAGCTGTCATTTCTGTGCCCGAACTCTTATATAACTAATACCATCCAGTGACTCTAAAAATTGGTACATATTGAAAATTGTTTGCGTAAAATAAATATTGAACATCACTTCCTATGTTTTTTTTTTTCATTATTTGTTAACCCCTACAAACTACACTTCTCCAATAGATAAACGCACCACCAAAAAGTAACTAAAAGTTTAGGAAACCGGAGAAATCGAGACAAGGATTATGAAGTATTTAATCATTGGAAGTTGAAGAATGAAATTATTGCCATAGATGAGACCATGTTATTGACGTACTTTGAAGAATTGGTATGTAATTTTATGAGGAAACCACAGAAAAAAACAATTAGCGGGCGTTATGATTAATAGTTCAAGCATGCCATCACATTGGGTTGTTGTACAATGCACGAAAAATGCAGCGAGAGACAAAGGAATATGATTTTTGAGGTAAAAAGTCATCTCACATAGTTTTCATTATGAAATGTTGTCATTTCTCATTAGAATTTCTTCTGCCACTTCTGCAATAGAAGCTAATACTGGTGAAAATGTCTACAACACATAGGATCATATTAATTCGTCAGCAGGTCAGACCATAGTCCTCCTGTTGGATTGCAGGAATCCAATCTTCTTGCCTTCTTTCAGAAACCTCACGAGTATTTCTGTTAGCTCCTATTGCAGAAGGAATTCCAATGAGAAATAACAACATTTCAAAATGAAAACTATATGTGAGTGACTACAGTACTATTAGATCACAATGTACCTACCTCACCTACCTGAAAAATCGGATTCCTGCGTCTCTCGCTGCATTTTTTGTTCATTGTACAACAGCACAATGTGATGGCATACTTGAATTATCGAATAGCCGAAAAAACACGATTCTTATTCCAAAATAATTCAATGGGCAAGTGGAAGAGGGTGCTACGTGCATATGTAACTTGCCCTGTCAGGATTCGTTTCTCTTCTTCATATCTGAGTAAATACACAGTGGCAGAATGGGCTATGTTACACTAACATCAAGGTTGCAATGTGAAAAGGAGCTATGTGCCCATTATTTACATGTCAGAAAATGGAAGAAGGGGTTATGTATGCATGAATCCAAATGTATATAAAAAAATGATATGATAGTAAAATGCGATAAATCATAAAAAAAACCAACCAAACACTATTCCTCACAATTGCATTGATCAAATAATTGAACTAGCTTTCATTAAAAAATGCCAGCTAACTTAACTTGAACCTATTTTTCTCACAAATTCATATTTGTAATATAAATCGTTCTTCTACTTGCCCCTTCAATTGTGAAAAACTATTTCAATCCTTGGTAAACAAACGAGAAAAGTGAGGTTATATTTCAATGTTTTGCCTCCAGGGTCGGCCATCTGACAGATCTTGCACGCAACCCATAGCAACCGTTGCCAAGGTATCATTAAGCAGTAATGGACAAGTGAAAAAAGTTTTTCCGATGGACCACTCTTGCTCTCTCACCTGCAAAATGAAAATCTCCTTGATTTGCCGCTTGATCAGCTGGTGCTTCTCGTGTATGTGCCGCTCCTCGATCTCCCACAGCGCAGCCTCCCTCGTCCTCGTCAGCTGCTGCTTCTGTTGGAGGAATTGGCGCTCCATCAGCGCGATCTTTTCTCGGTGCGCGTCGCTCAGTCTGCGCAGGCTGCTTTCGTGGTTCTCGTTCAGCTTCTCCAAGAAAGCCTTTTCGCGGTCGAGGTGCTCCGTATCCATTTTGTCTTTGCGCACCTAAATCAATATGTGGAATTTTCTTCATTTTCGCTTTCTAAAGTGACCAACTGACTCACAAAATCAACCATTTCAAGGCGTCAAGTTACACCTTGTTAGAGAGCTGATTGAAATCTCTACACAGCTCATTTTTTTCATTCGATTCGGTTGAGCCATATCCGCAAGAGAACAGTAGAAAGATTCGAATTTTATTGGAATTCTTTTTGTATTTGTGGGGTCGAAAATATTGTGTTATATCATAAATATGAAGATATAACCAGAATAATAATCTCGACGTCGACGAATATGTTGAGATCATAGAAATAAATGCATTTCCAATATTTCTCCTCAGTTACTGCTTTTGCTGGAGTCGCTCAGTCTGCGAGGCTGCTCTCCTGGTTCACGTTCAGCTTCTCCAAGTAGGCCGTTTCGCGGTCGAGGTGCTCCGTATTCATTTTGTCTTTGCGCACCTAAATCATCACGTGAAACCTTTTATTTCTGGCCGGGATATTATAAACTTATATCGTCATAGTTAAGCTCCCTTGGGACATTATACATTCTATAATTCCCTTTACCATTTTTAATGCTAACACAGCTTGATAACAAAGTTCTGTTTATAAACAATTAACATAGCCACAACCTAGCAACAAATACAACTCCTATAATCTACGGTACATTCATTATGGTTTAAAAATAAATTATTGTTGTTCTGCTCACCAACCCAACATTTTCCACTTCTTTTTCCTATACCTCGCACTGGCGCGGTATTTGCTATTAGGGCTGACACCTGGTCCAAATGTCCACATGCCCTCTCCCAACTACAATTAAAATGTCAGAATTGAGGATGACTCACCTATTTGCACAGCCGAAATGCTGGGACTGGCGACAGCGGTAAAAAAAGCAATTGACTTTAAAATTGAAAAACCTTTTATCCTAACAGACTCGCTAAGCTCGCTTCAAAAACTGCTTAGAACTGGTATTACCCCCAACTCAGACAACTCCACTATCATTACAAGAAGCTTGATAAAAAAGACAGCCCAAAATAAAATCAAAATCAATCTGGGATGGATACCTAGCCACACAAATATGCCAGGAAACGACAAGGCAGATCAAGTAGCCAAGCTAAGCACAGCGAAATTAAGGGTGGACTACAGGAAACTAGACTATAGAGATTTTCTTCCTAGAGTCAAGAAGAGAATACAAGGGGCCTGGATCGAGGAATGGACAGAACTATGTAAATTTAAAGGGAAAACCCTATTCAACCTTCTAGAAACATTTCCGAAAAAACCCTGGTTCCACATGATAGAAGTCAAAAGAGAAATCTCCTCCACAATGTGCAGAATGAGATCCGGACATTGTCTCACACGGGAACACCTTCACAATATCAAAATAAAAGACTCACCAAGATGCGAATGTGGTATGACTGGAAGTCTACAACACATTTTATTGGAATTCCCTAACCACATATACAACTCAAATATACTGTACAAAAAAATTATATCTCGTCACAGTACCCCAATCCTTTCCGCTTTATCAGTAAAAGACCTGCTTAGGAACCCCTCTACTTACTTTGCTCTAATCGTTTCCATGTACCTTAAATCTATAAATATGGAACTGTAATAATTATGGTCCTATTATGTTTCATGTTACCACAGGAAGGATGATCACAGGATCAGACGCATTCACGTGCAGCTTCACCCCTAAGAAGAATCTGGGTAAATAACCGAAAAGGTTAAGCCCATACAGAAGAAGGAAGGGGGGATGGTCCAAATGAATTCATCAATTTAATAGAATACACAAATAGGTCACTCTGTGGTTGTATTTATATTGAAACTACAATCCGAACATCCTTGAAAATTGAATAAACCTGATCTGCATATGCAAATAGAATATTCTCACCACACAGATTATTTGTTGCATTACGTAGTATCTGATGACATGATGCATCACACACAAATTGTAACAGTAAAGTAGTCTGAGGTATGGCTTCTATCTACTTACTCATATTATTATAATAATCTGTCAAGTAAGTCACATTGGTGGTTACTTCACTTATATTCATTTTAGATAATTCTTTCCGTTGTAGAAAAAATTGCATGTTTCATTCGGATCAAAAGTGACTTTGTTTGACTCCCAATTTTGCTTTCGCTCGGCTTCGTTAGACGCTCCGCCTCGCTAATGCAAAATTCGCTTTTCAAACAAATTGTCACTTTCGATCCTAATAGAACAATCTACCATTTGGTATATTAGGCGAAATTCTGAAATAAAGACCGATCATTATCAATTATTATTCGCACCTTGAACTCCGCCTTGCGCCTCTCCTTCGGCAACATGTCCACCTCGTACTTGAGCAACCTCAATTCCGCTTTGAGCCCCTCGCGGAACTGCTTGAGGTCGCGCTCCTGCTCTCCCCGGATCTTCTTCGAGGTGGCGCGCAGATCGGCGTCCTGGTGCGCCTCGGCGCGCTCGATCTGCGCGCGCTGTTGCCGGCTCAACATCTCCAGGTCGTTCTCGAACGTGCGCTCCAAGGTGGCGCGCTCCTGCTCGAATTTTCGGTCTTGCTGCTCGATGGCCAGCTGCTCTTTGGCCGCCAAATCCTGGAACTGTGATCGGACAGACGCGATATAAAATTTTCAAATATTTACACAATAGTATATTATACACCTAGGGTGAGAAGTGAGCTAGTATATAGCAAGCACTTTTATATGACATTACATTTTTCCAAACATTTTTCATACTTCAAAAATTGCTTTCAGCTGTAATGAGATTTGCTGTTTCAAATATATTTGATTTTAAGAATGTAAGTATCATTTTTACTATTACTATTCTTAAAATTTTAAGAATAGTAATAGGATAATGAATAAGGATAATGGACCTATTCCATATAGCCCTCTTTATAGTTTAGTAAAATGAAAATTAAGATTACCATGTGAACTCAACCATGACAAACATTAACTTGACGGTTAGTATTTTTCACATTTGGGTGAACATATACCTAGTGACCTAGTATACAAGCAGCACACTAGAATAGGATATTTAGTTTTAATCTTCTCCTGAAGATGCTAACATAGTTAGCGAAACACGTGTCGAGGCATTAAAAAATCGATTTGGTTAGTGGTAAAACAGTGTAGTGTACAGTCCACTGCACTCAAGCATTGAACAATGCAGTTTGCCTCAATTATCTTCGTTATAACTGAGGCAAGAATCACGAAATTTGGTATTTTAAGGTGATTTGATCTTACAAATCGTTTCGGGGTACTTTAATATACCGGAAGATGCGAAACTTGTAACCGATGCTTTAAAAATGCTTCAAGTTTCTTTGTTTTAACACTTATCTCATTTATACTACTAGAATATGATTACCTTTATAACATAATGAAACACCCATAACAACATAATTGTCAGAAATTCACTACTACTAATTATAAACTCATTAGTTATTGTAAGGTACATGAAATAAAAATAAAAAAACATGAATTATTTAAAGATGAACGTGGCGGCACCGCAAAGTTCCGTAGTAGAGGAGCAATATTCGATGTAAGAAACGTCATTTGTCGTTTTTGTTCAATCGTTTTTCGACTGTTGTGCCGTAAGAGTTAATTCATTAATGCACATACATACATTGATAGAAATTCCGATTCATCAGATACATGGTATATATATATTAATAAAAAACATCAATTTTCTGGCAAAGATTCCGTAGAGTTATCCCCACCATTCGCGATTTCATTCATTCATCTGTGTTTGGTGTTTAGAATTGTTGGCGTATAGTTTTCAATGATTTATGAATGAATCACAGTGTCAATTATTGTTATTTAGTTTGAGGTTACAAGAACGCAACAACTTCTAGATTTTCTTCTTCAAGTTAGCAGGATATACCCAAACTTAGTGAAATTTCAATAAGACGCAAGTAAGGATGATACAAAGGCATTGAAATACTGTGAGTACTGTACCATAATTAGCTTTTATTACTTTGGCAGCAGATTTCAGGAATGAAAATAAGAAAAAGCTCTCACAGAGGCTCCCCTGAAATGTTCACTTATAATATCACCAGATCTTCAATTATTTCCGGAAATTTTTTCGAGAACACGACTATTTTTTCTAAATATTCGTGTTAGAGAAAAAATTCCCGGATATTAATTGAAGCTGAAGTGGTATTTCGGTAGGAGGTAATTTCACACTGAAATATTATTAAAAAATTACTTGGATAATGACGATTTTTGATGGTTTTGACATTTGAACAGCTTTGTATGTTAGTGTATCATAGTGTCTATATGAAAATGATGGTTGTTTGTGCTGAAATGTAAGTACTAAGGTATAATAACAGCATGTGTTTTTGTAAATTTCGAATTTGCAAGTATACCTACAAAATATTACATGGTAAACTGTTGATAAATGATTTTAACATTTTAATTTAGAATGTTTTTCAAGGAAATTTATATCATCTTTTGTGATATATAGGATGGATGGAAACGATGTTGCTATTCAAATTCGTCACATTGTCTCTCAGCATTATTTGTCTCAATGTGTTACCTGTTTCTGTTCCTGCTTCTGCAGATACTTGAGCTCCCTGAGCTCCTGCTTCCTGTCCGAGTGCGGATCGCTCAGGTTGTAGTTGTCCTCGTCCCCGTAAATCACCTTGCTGGTGGTGGTGGTGATGAGCACGCCGTCGATGACGAATTTTCGAGTGCGCTTGCGCGTCTTCCGGATCTGCATGGCCGCCGTTTCCGCCTTGGTCTTCGGCGGTTTGCGCAGCACCACCTCCACTTCGTGGTCGCCCGAATCTGCGCACGATTTGTTGGGAATGTGAAAAGACGAAAAAATCACCGAACACGGGCGATGTATAATATTGACTGTTCATTGGAAATACATTAAAAAATCGCATTTATCTACGATATTTTCAGTAAGCCTGACCTCTATTTTGAACTAAGTTATTCATTTGTTATTCTAACCCTAGATAACATTACAGTTTGCACTTTATAGGTCGCGTGTACGATGACCGACCCTGGAGGTAAAATATTGAAACACAACCTCACTCTTCTGTGAATTATTGAAACACAACCTCACTTTTTTTATTTGTTTTCAGAGGAATCGAAGGATTGAAGTAGTTGGCACACGAATCGTGTTTTTTGCGCTATTCATTAATTCAAGCATGCCTTCTCATTGTGCTGTTGTACAATGCACAAAAAATGCAACGGGAGACGAAGGAATATGATTTTTCAGGTGAATAGTAATCTCACATAGTTTTTCATTATGAAATTTTTTCGTTTCTTATTAAAATTCCTTCTGCCACTTCTGCAATAGAAGTTAATACTGCTAATAGATTGAAAATGTCTACAACACACACGATCATATTTCGTCAGCATGTCAGACCAGTCCTCCCGTTTGATTGCATAAATCCAATCTTCTTGCATTCTTTTAGAAATTTGACGAGAAATTTTATTAGCTCCTATTGCACAAGGAATTCCGATGAAAAATCAGAGAAATAACCAAATTTCAAAAATGAAAACTATATGAGAGTGACTATAGTAGGTACTCACTTTTAAATCATAATGTAACAACCGGGTTTCTTCGTCTTTCGCTGCAGTTTTTATGCATTGCACAAAAGCACAATGTGATGGGATGAGCGATGAGCGAATTAATGAATAGCCGAAAAATACGATTCATATGCCAAAATAATTGTGAAAAACTATTTCAATCACTTGTAAACAAATAAGAAAAGTGAGGTTTTGTTTCAATGTTTTGCCTCCAGGGTCGGTCATCTGACCTATCTTGCACGCAACGCATTGAAACAATATTATGCCAGCAGATAATAGAACGGTAGAGATTGCTTATCTACTTTTATATTGTTGAAAACTTAGTAATCTCTCTAAAAATCATACTTACATATATTTGTCGAGAGAGAAACGAAAATTATGAGTGACGAGTAGAAACAAATCGATGTTTCCCACATAAGTGATGCAGTGGAAAGAATCAATGAGGAAATATTATATGAATGAATGAGAAAAATTGTGCCAGAAGGATGATCAAAACTATTCAAACAAAATAGATAACTTCTCATCTGAAATGAGGATACATGTAGAAACAGGATGGTAAGACTCAATTTGCTTCTTGGTTATGAATATGCAGTACAGTTATGAAAGAATACAAGCTGAAGACGTCAACCTACAATTGCCCATATTAACAACTATATATTCAATTGGAACAATTAAGTAAGCTAACATTTTCCAATAAACCAGCGCCATTGATAGGAAGGCATATTTTGGGTCAGTGTACATACATCAGACAATAAATGCCTCTAGACAATATACTACCTCACCCACTAGGTTTTCATCTATAACGACAATGGTTGTGATTTGAGATAATCTTCTGGGATTTACCTCTTTTCAAAAAATTGTTGGATCATGAAAATAATCTTCACACCTGCCAAATTCCAAATCAATCGGTCCGTTTGAAGTGGGTCAAAATTGATTACAAAGGAGTCGGTTACATACATACAGGTGAAACTGATAAAAGGGTGTAAGAAAGGAAGAAGCTAACTTCCGCTAACTGATATTTTTCAAAATTAAATTTTGCTGCGCATTTTTGTTACCTGTTACGTGTCTTTTATCCTCCTTCTCGTTGCTGCCGCGACTGCCTTGACTAGCTAAGGATATACTTTCGACATCAGACTGTTCCAAACTCTTACTGGCGCCAGAAATGGGTCTCCTGTGTGAATCTGTGCTCCTCACTGAACCACAATCGCTATGAGACCTAACAAAATACGAAAAAAAAAACTCTTATTAAATGGGGGAATACTTTCAAAGCCCTTGGAAAAAAGATCCCTTTTTCCATTTCAATAACCATTCAAAGTCTAGCCGCTACAAAATGGTAGACGGTCCAGCGGATTTAAACAGATTTTGCTCTTTTTTGTAATGGGGTTATGTCATGTAAAATGCCTAGAAGCAAGTACTTTTTGAAGAGGGAAAAAGAAATTATTGCAAATCGTAGTGTTCATCTGTGATATTTTCAAATCTTCAGATTCGGGTAGTTTCAGAAACGACTGTGGAATTGGAGGGAAAACGGAATTTTTCCTAAGTAGGGACTGGACCGTATCATCAAATTCAACAATCCGAATTCGGGCACAATACCTCAGTAAAACGGTAACGATTAGGGCCCAATCCGGGAAAAAATTCAAGTAGTCGGTTTTTCTGTGGTTTTATATGTTATTAGCAAAAAACAGCGAAATATTTGACCTTTTTTCGTTTTTTTTTGGCCGTAACTCGGAAATCATACATAATATCGAAAAGATTGCACTATAAAAAGTTGAAGTAGATGAAATTTTCTAGATATTGTCCTTGCTCATGGATGTAGGACTGGAGGGTGCAGAGATAGAGCCAGTTGAAAGTTGTCCAAATTTGGGTACTTTTAAAAATAGCGTTTCTTGTCGGTTTTCGCAGATAATACATATTTTATGTATTACTTAGGGACAGAGCATCATGCACATATTGGAAGAGCATCAAATTTCCTATTGAGCTCATATAAATTTCGTCATCATGAAAAAAGAAGAACGGCTATTAGAGCGCTCGGACTTGGAGACGTCTTTTAGTCCTAGTTGCCACACTCATGTTCATCCTTTCAACTTATATGATTTGGATCATAATATGAACCTATATTCATTGAAGCTCTAAAACGTATAAATAGGTCATCGTTTTGTTTTTGTATCCTGTTGGGTGGGGGACAAAAAAAAATAGAATTCTGTACGCTGGAATTATAGTTGTTATAATAGCTAAACAATAATTCCAAATGCTATAGGGTATTCTTTGAACATCTTGATAAAAAACTGATAAACTATTGAAACTATCAAAATTACCTATTTTGTGATGCATAAGTATTAGAATCAATTCTCGCTCATGTGGGTTCCAAGGCGTCAAGGAAATGAAGCAGCTGATTACCTAGCAAACAGTGCAGAGTTCACATTCGCAAGCAAATGCCATCTTATCACAGAGCTCAGAAAATGAGAATGAAGTGAAAAATCCTACTACTGTAAAGTAATTCAAGGTAAACGAGAAGGAAAGAGTTCTTCAACAATTCGTGAGCTAGTGAGTCTCAGCAAACAAGAGGCAGGTAAGAAAAACAATATTCTTCCTAGTTGATGTGAATGTATTTAGGTACAGTGAAAAGTCCAGAGTCATGAGTTACATGCTGACAGAGGTAAGAATTCACATGGCTAGGACTCTTCCACATCAGGCAGTATAGTTCGTTTTTTTCAAGGAATGCGTAGATTTGGAATTATCTGCGAAAACCGGCAAAAAACGTTTTCTCAACTGGCTCTATTTCCTCACTCGTTAGTCTACATTCATAATCAATAACAATTTTATTTAGCAAATTTTACCTACCTCAACTTTCTATAGTGCGGGCTTTTCGATATAACGTATAATTTCCGGGTTACGGACAAAAAACCGAAAAAAGTCCGAAAATTTTGCTGTTTTTTGCGAATATCTCGGAACGCTCCCGAAAATTTTGTTTGCACAATTCAGATTCGAATTCAGCACCTCCAAAAACATATGACACCACAGAGAAACTGACTACTTGAATTATTTCCAAGTGAAAATACAATTTGATTGGACCACAAGGACGGTTGTACCTGTCAGACATGGCCGACTCGAAGCTCTCCGAATACACCTTCCCGTTGTTGAGTCGATTCCTGTAGTCGTCCTCGCGGCTGTGCGACCGTGCCGGCGCCGCCCCGCCGTTCGTCAGATGGTAGGCGAGGCTGCCGCCCCCTCCGGTCGAGCCGCCCTCGAGCAGGATGTGCGTGCCGCCCCCGTACTCGCCGCTCTTCGTGCTGCCCGATTTGCCGCCCGAGGAGGTGTTGGACAGGTCGCTGGTGGAGCCGCGCGAGTCGCCTGATTTTTCGCTCAGGTAGGATGTGGAATCGTGGACCTGCACCTGCACAACTCTCATTTATTACGGAAAATATATACAAGAAATAAAAAACCAAATGGAACAAGATCTCGCTTCAATAACATTATGGTTACAAGATCATAAATTGACACTCAATTTCGATAAATCTTCTTTTATGTTCATCTCGAAAAGAGTTATACCTGATAACCAAATAGATCCGTTAAAATTCGGGAATTTTTGTATAAATCCTACAAAAAACTCCAAACTCTTAGGTTTAACTATAGACCAGACTCTATCTTGGTCATCGCATATTCAATTGCTCAGGAAAAAAATATCTCCCATTATTGGTATATTATACAAATTGAGGTCTTTTATACCTCTTAAATACTTGAAATTAATTTATTTCAGTTTGATTTACTCTAAATTGCAGTATCTAATATCGATCTGGTGTACTGCAGCAAAATCTGTTTTGAAACCTCTGAAATCTCTTCAAAATAAAGCCATAAAATGTATTTATAAACTACCATTTCTGGAATCAACATCTAGACTATACAAACCAAGAGATCTACTAGATATTGACTCTCTCTCCAAAATGAAAGTATGCATTTTCATTCATTTCACTAAAAATAAGAAAAAGCACTCGAATCTTACTTTCAATATCAATTCTGATACCCATGAGCATCACACCAGACAAAGTGAAAATTTGAAAACTGTTAAAATAAAAACCAAATTCGGGAAAAAATCATTGTATTTTTGTGGAATAAATATTAATAATAGTCTACCCAACAGAATAAAATCTATTAGATTCGTCACAAAATTTAAGTGTGAACTGAAGAAATATATTTTATCAATTTAACTCTCCCCTTGTATCAATTAATTCTGATTGAACTGTTTATCTTTCATTGTATTGCATATTTGATTTTTTTGTTGTTGTTTCCCTCTATAAACATTGTATGTTTCTTGGGATCAATAAATGTTATTATTATTATTATTAAAATTCATAATAAAATCCCATCAAAGATTGAAAATCTAAATATAATAACTTTTTCAGAAAGGTTGAAGGTTGTTTTGAAGAAAATGCAAAAAAATTGATAAAATCTGTATATTTTACTTGATTTAATAAATGAATACTAACTAGCTGACTGGGCAAACGTTGTTTTACTTTGAACATTATAATTATTTTTTTATTTGAATATTTAATAACACACTTTTATTATTGTATTTTCTACTTCTTTCAAGTCTTTCTAACCATGAAAGCGTGTTTCCTCAGTTTTTCAAAACGCTATTTATTACAAAGCTTATTCGACATATTGAATCCGCCATCTTGAATTTTCTAATCATGACAGAGGAACCATAGGTTGCATTTTAGTTGTTCCATTCTGGTAGCGGTGGTGGGAACAGAATGACGTTTACAAATAAAACGACAAACTTCATGACTATGATGATCTGCATGGGAGAATTTATGTAAGTGGTTATATTTATATATTAGGGCTCCAAATAATTTCAAAATCATGATACAACAGTTGAGCTTCTAGAAAATGAATCAATGAAGAATATTTGGAGCAGTGATTGGAGAAACTTCTCTGAGACCGAGAGAATTATTTTCATCTGGGAATGTACATATGAAACATGTCTTACTTGTAAAAATCACAAACTTGTGTAACTCATGATGAAAATGTCTTCTGAATGTCATTCATTTTCAAAAGGAATCGTTTATCGTCAATCTAAAAAAAAATTTGTTCTATAATTGTTTTCTCCGTCATTTGGTTACCCCCTTACGAGCAATCCTCAGAAGTCTTTGAGAGTCATGTGCGAGCAAGGAATGACGGGGGCCTTACCTTTCAACGTGTGATCCCAAACACTTTCTTGGGCCATCAGAAAGATGTCTCCAGTCGCGGGGAATTGAACCCACGACCGGCAAGCAAATGCGGATTAGAATACTGACACGCTGTCTACACGGCTACCTGGCCCCTTGACAATTGTCAACAGTCATTCCACGTCATTCCTTGTAGTGAGACGGAATGGAAAGTAGCAACCCGAATCGGAAAAGTTGCAAATAAACCGACACATTGAAGTGATTCCGATGGCGGAATCGGATAAATAAAACGCAAATATTATCTCCGAACCAAAAAACCTCAGATACCAATTTTAAATAAAATCATGTCTTAATGAATTAACTCGTTTGCCACATTGGATCTGTCATTTCGAATTTACAGAATTTGATGCAAGAATCATAATTTCCGAACCCTAAAACCCTCACTTTACCGATTTTGAACAGAATCGGATCATAGTTACAAAAGTCGTAAGCCATTTCCATTCCATACAAACAAACAAACAGAAGACAGACAAACAAACAAACAAACAAACAAACAAACAAACAAGTCTTTCCTCTTTATAGTATTAGTATAGAAACTCGTCACAGTCCAGATATTTAGCCGTCATTGGTATAGATAACTTCGCAATCTCTCTAAAAATCACACCTACATTGGTAGTTTGAGTAGGATTTTCACACAAAAGTAATTCATTGAAAGGAATCATAAGGAAATATAAAAAAATTGTAATTTTGTGGAAAAATATGCCACGACCTTGGAAATCACATAATCGCAACCACTCACCTTCTCCTCGTCGATTTTGACGACTGACACATGGCTGGTATCCAGCAACCTCGAGGTGTCCTCCCCCACGTCCAACCCCGAATCGTCGATCACATAACTGGCATCCGTGATCATCACCTCGCTCTCGTCCAGCCGCTTAGCAAGCGGCATTTTGTCCCCGAACTGCGAGGGCGTTTTGTCCCTGAACTGCGAGGGCGGTTTGTCCCTGAACCGCGAGGGCGTTTTGTCCCTGAACTGCGAAGGCGGCGGGTATTCGAGCGAGTCGAGAGAAGGACAAAAGTCGTCCTCGGCCTCTTCCAGCGAGGAGGAGGAGGAGGCGGCGGAGGAGGAGGAGGAATTGACGCGCGTCGTCTTGTTGGTCTCGTTGGAGACGATGACGACTTCGTCGGGGATGGTGGAGGTGGGGGACAGTCTGGAGGATGGGGGTAGGGAGTTGTCGATGATGACGGGGGGGTGGGTCGTTACCACCGTTACCTAGAAATACAGGGTGTAAATTTGAAAACTTTCAATGCGAATATCTCGCGAAATAAAGAAGTTAGAAAAACGCCGTTTGGCAAAAATGCTAAAGAGTTAAGGGGAACTAGAACCACCATATTTCAGTGAAGGGATGAGTCACCCTGTCAGCGCAACACACCCCAACTTTGAAATGTCAAATGGCTCTACCTCTTTTGTGATACCTCAAATGAACGGTCTCAGTCAGTAGTATTCACCTGTAGAAGACTTATTTTCCACCCACTACAGGGTGTACGAAAAACATTAATTCGAGGGTCTGAATTTGAAAACTTTCAATGCGAATATCTCGCTAAATAAAACAGTTGGGAAAACGCCGTTTGACACAAATGCTAAGAGTTGGGGGGAACTAGAACCACCATACTTCAGTAGAGGGACGAGTCACCCCGTCAGCGCGACACACTCCATCTTTGAAATGTCAAATGGCACTACCTCTTTTGTGATACCTCAAATGAACGATCTCAGTCAGTAGTATTCACCTGTAGAAGACTTATTTTCCACCCACTACAGGGTGAACGGAAAACATAAAGTCGAATAAAATAAAATGCAGAATGCCGATATATTCCAAGAGATGTATTCCAAAATATTAGAATGGCATTTGAACATCGATTATACTATTGCTTACAACAGAATGGAAGGCATTTTGAACAACTGATCAAATAAAATATCCTTTTAACACAATTCATTTTATTTGACTTTATATTTTTCGTACACCCTGTAGTGGGTGGAAAAAAAGTCTTGTACAGGTGAATACTACTGACTGAGACTGTTCATTTGAGGCATCACAAAAAAGGTAGTGCCATTTGACATTTCAAAGTTGGGGTGTGTCGAGCCGACGGGGTGACTCATCCCTTGGCCGAAATATGGTGGTTCTAGTTCCCCTTAACTCTTTAGCATTTTCGCCAAACAACGTTTTTCTAACTTTTTTCTTTCGCGAGATATTCGCATTGAAAGTTTTCAAATTTACACCCTGTATAAGACTGATTGGAGATCTACAAGGTGTTTTGTAATATGTGGGACGCACTCCTAGAAGTGATATAATATGTCCAAAGCTCTTTTGTCTCCGTGTAACAGAGTGTTGACATTTCAGGATTTTTTTGAGTGATTTCCATATTGCTCCTGCAGTTTTCAATGTATCCTCAAATTCGGAATATGGGTTACACTTCAGGGCTCATATCATTGGGCATGCCATCATATGATCTGGATAATAGACAGGAATATATTTTTTCAAGGGCCACAACTTCTTTTTTCACCCTGAACATTTTTGTAGTGCGCCTATGGTGGATTCAATGAACCAAAGTGCAATCTATTGTTCATTTGGATTATTTGTCTTGTGTTTTTTTTATGATCTGCGATCGTTATTTCGAACAAAAATATATTTGTAGTTCATGTTTACAAATTTTGGCTATGGTTCTGAGTTAAAGGATGTTAAAAATATTGAAACAATATTCATATCTTCTAACTACCTATACAATTTTTGTTTTTTAGCGAGTGAGCTATGAGGAAATAACTAAAAAAATCTTGAAATTTCAACACATAAATCGGAAACAAAAGAGGTTTCGACATAATTATGTTTATAGGAACTTATATCATTTTTTCGAGACGCTCCAACACCCTGTATACTCACCGAAAAAAACAAAAGTGACCGCCTTGTAACTTTTTCTAATCTTGTCCGATTCTGGTAGAATTTCGGCCAAATTATAGGTTTATTTTTGGGAATGTTAGCCTGAATTTAGGTTCCAAAAAAATTCTGATGGCTTGATCATCATACAGGGAAAACCAAACGTTACGTCACCCTCAACTTCTCAACGCCCAGTGGCAAAACTGATTAAACTTAATTTCCTTATTTTTATACTGGAGTGTGATCCCTTCTCAACACAATGGTTTTCAATTTACGTCAGTCTTCAATTTAAAAGATGATACAAGTGCGTTGAATAGTATGATTTTTTTGATTTTTAACAGCATTAATTCAGAACCTACATCAACTTATTGAGGAACAACCTGCAAAAACTGATGAAATTCAATAACGCTTAATTTCACTTCGTTTTTTTCATCACTCATCGGCAAAAAAACTTTAATTACAAAAAATCTAAAGCAGACCTCAAGCTTGAATTACAACATTCAACTGCCGTGGCGTCGAGTTGATGACGTTTCTGAAACAGACTTTGCTTCAATTATTCTTCTTGAAGAGATAAAAGAAAGGCCGAACAAAGAGGAATACGTCTCTGGAGTTTATCTCAAAAATTGCTCTATGGGTTCTGAATCATTGTTAAAATTGAAATTAGAAAATTCCGTAATTTCAGCCTTCCTTGTGAACTAAAATTAATGGTAACATTCTGAAACATTACCATAAGATCTGCTGAAAGTTTCACCAAAATCGGACAAGAATTGAAAGAGTTACAGGGCTGTCAACTTGACTAATTTTTGTTTGGTCGGTTTCTTGCCAGTAAGTGTATTTTGTGAATGAAACCTGAGCACCATAGCTCTTCTTAAAAAATTCTTAAAAAATAACGAGAGCAATACAAAATTGTCAGTTAATTTGTAAATATAATTTGAGCTATTTTGCGAACCACTCACTTGATTGATATTGGACGCCAAACTGTTGGACGTATCCGGCAAATTGGAATTAATCGTGATAGTAGACGTATTCTTATCTCTCTCCGATTGGGGCGTAGACCCCACCGCCAAACACAAGCTGTCATCCGGAGTGGTGGCGCTGGAACTGGTGACCGTCACCAAATCTCCGGACCGCTCCTGAGCGAATCCCCTCTTTTCAATGTGATTCTCCAGCGCCTGCTTGATCTCCGATATGTTGCGAGTCATGTCGTCCGTCTCGTCTTTCTCCGGAACCTGTTGATTGGCCAGGGAGATGTCCCGCTCGCCGGGGGCGTGGTCTCGTGGGTCGGGGGCGTGGTCTCGTAGGTCGGGAGGCGTGTCCGGGGGCGTCATAGGGGAAGAGGGCGGGGTGGGTAAGGCGGGGATGGGCAGAGCGGGCGGAGGCGGAGCAGGGCCCTTTTCCTTTTCCGACGTCGCGGAATTGGTCGAGCTGGTGGATTGCTGTGTCTGAAGGGGTGGTGGGGGCGGGGCTTTGCCTTTGTCGCGGGACGTCTTTCGTTGCACCTCTTCTTTCTTCTCGAGCTAGAAGAAAAATCAATAGTGGAAGGTATTGAAACAAATTTGAAATTAACGAAATACTTACTGGTTTTTTACCGGGTTGAGATACGACAGTGGGACTAGACGCCTCTGGTTTCACATCACTTGCAGATGGTTCTTTTATTTTGTCTTCTTTCTCGGATGATGCCGGTTCTATCGGTAGTGGTGTTGAAGTTTTGGGTGCAGCTATTGGATTAATGAATTATCAAAATTATAAGATACATCAAAATTCACAATCAACACTTGTTACCTTTACTATCTAATTCGTTGCTTCTTACAGAAGCAGAATCATCCTCGATGTCAAGAGGCACTTGGGAAGTGCGGTTGTCCTAAAAAAATATATTATTTGAATATTGTTGGAGGTTAAATCAGATAAATTACAATTACAATTATTGCAATTACAGTTTATAATTTACAATTTTTCAACAATTAAATAACTGAAGTGTTCATGTATATTCAATCATGATCAAACTAAGGCAAAATTATTCATATTCCCATCCTGCAATTACCTCTATGAGTATTGAAAAAATAACAAAAGATGAATAATAGTAGCAATGAAAATTCACACTAATACAAAATACATTCGAGTTATACTAATTACATTACCTAGGTATTCATAATTCATAATTTGAAACATTGAAATAGCCGTAATTCATTAAGTTAACGGTCAAGGAAAATAAAAGAGGATATCTCGTTCTGGCAGATGAATTGAATCTAATCAAACTTAGTAGAATTAATAAGCCATTGATCTATTTATATAGGAAATACAATAATCTGCGCTTTTCTAAAGTTATGAGATTAGGATCCATTAAGATTTCTGGTTAACATATATAAGCAACATGATATAACTTTTACACTTACGATATGAATATGTTCTCAAAAACCTTTTCTGAATTTGCTCTATGTATTTGATAAAAAGGTGTTCAAATGATGGAACCATAGTCAAGTGAAGGTCCAACTAAATGGCAATAAAGTGAATAATGTGAAATATCATGGATACAGAGCAAATTTGACAAATTAATAATTTTCCTCATAGGTATTCTATGTAATATTCAATATTTGCAAAATACTCCATTTGAAAATAAAATTCGATTTTAAATGCCATGAAACATAATATGTTGTGTCAGTAAAAATCATAAATAATGGTTATTAAATATGGACAATACTGATATTTAAATGGAAATTTACAAAAACTCTCAAGAAATTCTCAAGGTGGCTTGATTGAATCTCACCTGAGCAGTAATATCAGGTAAAGGAGGACCAGGGGAGCCGCATGCACAAGAAAAAAAAAAGAGCCATCATAACGGCACACACATACAAGGTGATATTTACTGGGTGCCAACTTTATCACCAAAAAAAGTGAGATGAAAATCTTGTAGACATTCTGAGAATTTTTTTGTTTGATGAAACCAGAACTGTATTGAGTTGCCGCTAATGAACACCATTTTGAAATTCCAATTTTGCAGCTCATGTTCATTATATCATTGTGAATTAACGGATATCCACTGATTAAATGTGTGGTTTTGGTCAATCCAAATTAACTTACCGATTCTATGATAAAGTTCTTTGTGCTTTCGGTGTTTCCTACCTCGCTATGCATGAAATAAATGGAATATAAAAATGTGCAGATTATTTTACTGAGCATATTTCCACAAAAATTCAAGTCTTGAGACGAAAAACTATACTTTGATTTACATTTTTTTTTTCATTACATCACATCACTATTGTTTCTTTGCAGACAAAAATCGTCCCACTTCCAGATTTTCAATAGATCCACTGAACAATGAATTTACTGAAGCATATAAAGTTCAATAAGAGGATATAAGTTCTCACAATAGATTTAGTAATGAGGGAGCCAATACAAACTTTTTCAGTCAATTTCATTTAAACAATTCTGATGATTGTCTGGAATCTTTCACTTCAATAGTTATTACATAGAAGGAAGAAATTTGAGGATTCATCCTTCAAAGTGTAGCAATAAAAAGTAGAATCCAGCTTATCCAATTTGTAAAAACATATTTTGAGTTCATTTGACTGTTTGTACTTCTTATAAAATTTGAAAATTCAACAATTGGAATATTGGTCAGATACAACTAAATTACCTCTGGATCGTCATCAGTAAGTTCTTCCTCAACAACCTCAGCTTTGTATTCAAGAAGCAAATCTTTGAGAGGTTTTGAATCCAATGTACAGTTTATAAAAGGATGTTTCAACAATTCTTCACAGTTTGGTCTTTTCTGAGGATCCTGAAAAAAAGTTTGAAATACTAATACTTACTTTCACTGTATTTGTAGACATGGGTATATTTTATTCAACATGCTTTCAATAGATTCACAAATGTTTATCAATGATCAATTTTTTTAAGCAACTAATCAATTTATGACACAAATAGAGATGGTGAAGTTCAGTGATGAATTGATGAAATCAGCAGAAGCAAAAATATGTAATTAAAATCTTAGAAATTTTTGTAATGCCTGAGGTAATGCCCTACTTGTCCTGGCAAAGTGAAATATAATAGTTTTCTCACTTTAATTAAGGCTTTGAGCAAGAAATCGTTGAACTCTTTGGACCACTTGGAGGGTTGCTCAAGTTTGGGTGGCTCAGATTTCTGTATCTTGAGCAGCACCCTCATGGGTGACATCTCATGGTTGGGTGGTTCCATTTGGGCAAACTCAATAAGGGTGATGCCCATAGACCAGATGTCCACTTTGTAGTCATATGGGTTGTCACGAAATGTCTCACACAGCACCACTTCTGGGGCCATCCAATAGGGGGTGCCAATGAAAGTGTCATGCTTTTGCAGGGTGTTCTTGTTTTTGGCAGACACTCCAAAGTCAGCTAAACATACAAAACGGTACATCTTCAAATCATAGAACACCATTTTGATGTTATGAGGAATTGTATTCTAAAAAAATCTTAGAGTATTTTATTTTTTTGATTTTACTCCAGTATTTCAATAAGCACTTCAACTTAGAGTTTCAATACCATAAATATTGCTCACATTAGGTAGATTTATTTCATGAATAGGTAAGATTCTGATTTCCATGATGAATATACCAGGTGATTCAATAAGGGTGACAAGGTACTTAATCTCTGAAACTTATAGTTTATAAAACATACCCCCTAGCAAGGGGGGGTAAGAACCTTCCTTTCTTGAACCAGACCTTGTTAGGGGGAGTTCTTCATAAACTATTAGTTACTGAGATACAGTACCACTTCAACCTTATTGAATCACCTGGTTCAATGATTGTAAGCCAAAAATACAAAGAATATTTATTGCTAATGCAATTTCTTGTAAATCTAAACATATACTCATACATCTGCATAAGAATATTGCAGACCATATTCCCTTAGGTACCATAAAAAATTATGAATTCATAGTAGTTGATGATCACCTCAATGATCACAATATATGAAGCAGTTATCAAAGACTAAAACAAAATTGAATATACAGATTCTACATAAAAAGGTGTAAACATCAGCAAGTAGGTATCTTTGATTTAGTTATTTATATTTTTTTCTCTTTCTGGTATTAGTTTCAATAGAATACCTAATACTGTAATACACATTGAAAATGACCATAGCAGTATACTCAACGATTTTCAAGATAAATACCATAAGAAATTTGATTGTACTCACCAAGCTTAACTCCACCAGCCATAGTTAGTAGTACATTTCCAGCTTTCAAATCTCTATGAATTATATGTGACTTGTGCAAAAACTGCAGTCCTTTGCACATGTTTTGGCACACATAGGCAATCTGATGTTCATTAAGAGGTTTTTCTAGCTCTGTCATTATACTGTCTAGGGCACCTCCATCACAATATTCAATCAACAGCCACAATTGCTGTTCCTTTTGGAAGGCTTCATGCAGTTCCACTATGTTTTGGTGTTTGATTTCTGATAATATATCAATCTCAATCATGAAATCTGCAAGGTCATCTTCACCATCAAGTCTGCACATTTTGGCAGCAGCCAGTTGTCCTGTGTGCCTGTGTTGGGCCTTATACACTTTTCCGTATGCTCCATCACCTAGTTCTCCTATCATATCCCAGAATTCTTCTGGGTCACACTCCATACGTACATTGTTGTAGACTTTTTTCTTTTTTGCATCATTGCCTCCAAAGTGGAGCACTTTTTTAATGTTATTGAAGAAAGACATGGCTGTATGTGGAAATTCACTATGGAAGTTCAATATTCATAACTACATTATCACAGATCTCCTAAGGAATCCAGTACTATTCCTATAATTTTACCTATAAATGATAATAGAGGTGGAATAAAATAGTATGAGTTCATTCCTTAAATATAGGCTTGTCAATGAATAATTTGTAAAAGTAGACTATGTAAATAAAAGTCTTGCTCATTTGGATACATAGGTAGATATAAAATTGATTCTGGTAAAATCACCAATGAATTAAATATTTGCAACGACCAGATAACATGGTGAATTAATAAATTTGGATATTATAACAGCATGCATATTATTACATGAAGAACAACTCATGACTGCAGTGAAAGGAAAATGTCAGATCAACTCAGAAAGATTAGGGAGAGGTATGTAGGTTCAGTATTCCATTACCTTATTCAAATCTCGGAATAATATCATCACTGGCTTATCGAAAAACAAATGTATATACCTAGCACTACAATAATTATTAATAATATATCCTTCACATTTGTATTATTTTCATCTTGTAACAAAGTCGGCCATGCTAATTTTTTTAACATTTTTTTAACCACAAACCGCAGTTCACGTCACAAGTCACGACGACACGATTTGATTGTAGGAAACACACTAGGAAACACGGCACGGAAAACAAACATTCAAGGAATGTGTTTTTGTTTCTCACATGAGTTAGAAAGAGAAAGATGAAGTCCAACCCCAATCATACGCGCAGCCATAATGCATAATACAGACGACCGGTACTGGCTCGATTCGATCGTCATACAGCAGAGATGCACAGAACAGAATGTAAATTCTGGACTTCTAATTTTTGTGTTTCGTGTTAGCTGTTTTCATTTTTTCCGGAGCGAATCTTGTTGAACCAAAATGGCTACGAATTTCAAATTTTTAAATTGGTTTTAGCGTGTTTAGTAGTACTCTAGTGTTTGTGTTTTCGTTTATATTTCATAGACTGAACTTTTTCAATCATATGTCTAGTGGAACGAAATGCAGTATTTTCGGAGAAGAGAATAGACAGGAATCCTCTTTTCATGAGTAAGTTTGAATTTTCTAATTTTCTTGTTTATATATTGACCTGCACGAAGGTACACACTTATTTACACTATATTTTAGACTCCCAAAGAACCCTGAACAAAGGAACTTATGGCTTCAATTATTGGGGACAACTTATTTCGCCAATCTCATTGATGCTTTGCTATATTTTAACCGCATTATATATGAATAAATCAGAGTTGACGGCAGGGGCGTCCGCAGAAATAATATCAGGGAGGGGCAAGTCACAATAAATAATGTAAAATATTCACTACATATCAAAAAAACAGTTTTTTTCTCCGATTGGCAGCAAATATTAATTTTTCTGAAACATATCAATCAGCGAAGTGATACTTTTCCTGCCTAGGCAGCAAAGTGGGTACTTTGCTGGCTAGGCAGGAAAGTGGTTACTTTGCTGATTGATATATGTATCAGCAAAATTAATAATCCATTAATCGTTTATAATTTCCTTCATATTTCATTCGAGACTTCTCCGGCAACAAATTCAACTCTATATTTTTTGCCACCTCCCTTATTTCTGGAGGTGTAAATACTTCCAGGTCGCTATCACTATCCATTATATAATAATTTAAATATACTGATATTTTTCGCACAACTGTCAGAATTTTCATGAATTGTCAAACTATAATTATCATGGACAACTGCAATTTCTATAAAATTTCATTTTAATTGAACACTACAGGAAAAATAAAGAGATTGTGGGAATTGTAATAATTTGCAATTACAATATCCTCCTATACCATTATGAACAATCGGAGGAAAAATTATATGCACTTCACTCTCTCGATATACAGTCTGTCCAAGATAAGGTTGAACAGCATGGGGATCTCGGAAACGGTAGGAGATACGAAGTCGGTTAAATGGGGGAAAAGTTGCGCATTCGGAGGCTCATACCAACAGCCTTCGAAAATTTTCAATTTTTTTTTTAGTTTTTCAGTTATATCGAAAAAAGTGAATTTTTGGAATCTCTATTTCATTTTTTTTATCCGTTATTATTAGAGATACAGGAAAGCAGAAAATACTTTTTCATAGCAACTTTTGATGACGTTTAACGTGGTGATTTTTCTATGCGACGTTTTGTATTCGTAGAACCATCATCAATTTTTGTTTTTTAAATACGGCCCTGATAATTCTTTCACAGATTCTAAAAGCTTTTTTTAATCTGTATTCAACCATGGTGGTTTGAATGTGTTTCGAACTATTTTTAGCCATCATCAATGTTTTTTTCGAAATTCCAAAGGAAAAATGCCATCAGTTTCACTTATTTCTGATTATTCAGTGTCAAACATTGATGGACTAGTAATTCAATACTGAAAAGTGAAAAAAAAATCCACTAAATTATTCAATGCAGCGCTTCGAATTGTTTATGAATTGTATTCATATTTTAATCCGAAGGAGCTTGTCATAATTAAATTTTTCGAACTAATTATTCCTATGAGTCTATCAATCGGAACTAGTTGATGAGGTATTAGTTTGTTGGCTAATTTTCCTTCAAAATAAGTGGAACTGATGGCATTTTTCCTTTGGAATTTCGAAAAAAACATTGATGATGGCTAGAAATAGTTCGAAACACATTCAAACCACCTTGTATAATACATGGTTGAATTCAGATTAAAAAAAGCTTTCAGAATCTGTGAAAGAATTATCAGGACCGTATTTAAAAAACAAAAGTTGATGATGGTTCTACGAATACGAAACGTCGCATAGAAAAATCGGTATCACCACGTTAAACGTCATCAAAAGTTGCTATAAAAAAGTATTTTCAGTTTTCCTGTATCTCTAATAATAACGGAGAAAAATAAAATAAAATAGAGATTTCAACAATTCACTTTTTTCGATATAACCGAGGATATAACTGAAAAACTAAAAAAATTTTGAAAATTTTCGAAGGCTGTTGGTATGAGCCTCCGAATGCGCAACTTTTTCCCCATTTAACCAACTTCGTATCTCCTACCGTTTCCGAGATCCCCATGCTGTGCAACCTTGTCTTGGACAGACTGTATAGAAATAGAGTAGATATATGATTTTTGTCGTTTCTATGAGGAGGTGTTTATTGAATATTCCAATTTATTCGAAAGCCGAGGGAAATAGTAAGGGAGCCGGTTGCAAATTTCGACCGTCATCTGATAACAAAACTATAAATGTCACAAAAGCATGTAAAAACATTGTATTTTATGGAACGGCAACTGTGTCAATCACTGTCCTGAGCAAAATGAATGAAAAATTGCACTTTCCTGTGCGGTATTCCGAGGGGTAAGCCGCGGTAGAATTCTGGAGTAAAAGCAACTGGAATTCCTTGGGATTCCCTATATTTCCTTGGAATTCCTTGGATTTCCTTGGAATTCCTTGGATTCCCTTGGAATTTCTTGGATTTTCTTGAAATTTCTTAGATTTCCTCGGATTTCCTTGGAAGTCCTTGGATTTCTTTGGAATTCCCTGGAATTACTTGGGTGAAATGCGATATATTATATACAAACAACTTGAATTCCTTGGATTTCCATGGATTTCCATGGATTTCCTTGTAATTCTTTGAGTGTAGTGCGGTATAATTCTGGTGCAAAAACAACTGAAATTCCTTGGAATTCCATCAACAGTGTGATATATATCCGGGAAAAAAGTACTCACTTTTTTCACGTGGGAAAAAAGTAATTTATGAAAAGTGACATTTCATAACCTCTGTCAACAGAGATAACATTTTAAACATAAATTGATACAGGGTGGACGAAAATATAAAAGTTGGTTAGGCACTATAGTTACGGCACGGCCCTGTTAGGTTGGTTTACCTCAACAAACAAATAAGATTGTGTACGGTGCTCCTAATTATTATGCCTCGGGGAGAGATATCCTTCCCGCGAAATTCCGCTGATTTGGCCATGAATCAGGACGGTGTCAGCAATTTGTCGTCGGCAGAGTAAGGATAATTTGGCTTCCTTCCACTTCGAACCTCCGGTAGTTCCACCTTTTAGCTAGTTAACGTGCGCTCTTTCCGCACAAACCGCACATTTGCATACACAGGGCAATTACAAGGAAACTCCAAAGGACTACAGGGCAATAAACCGCCAGTTGTGCCTGCCTTTCTTATAATTACGCCATCATTCAGTTGAGATGGAAGTAAAGGTAATCCTAAACTCTTTCAAATTATCCCGTGCATGCTATCATCGGTATTTTACAAGTTAACAATACAATTACTCCTTCATATTTGATCGTTTTTTGTCACATGAATAAATATGATATTTTTTCTACTCGCATAAAGAAAATGGCATTTAGCGTACGGATATGTACCACGCTATGATGATCTGTGATTTATTCAAAAAAAATTAAACACGTTACCATGGCAATACAGTTTCTTAAACTGTCAACTGTCAACTGTCATTTTGAAATTTTGTTGCAATCATAATCATTCATTAAAATGTATGCGAAAAGTAATAATTGCATATTTCCAACAACTCTGTGTTAAAATGAAGCTCTCATCTTTGTGGGCAATTCATTCTTTCAGTATGTTATCACTCGTATCTCTCTGCTGCGGTGGCTGCGCTCGTGCTTAAAATACTCGTTACTTAAAGGACGTTTATAACACTTGTTACATAATATACTATTGATTGATTCAACCAATAGTAATGCGTCATCCTAGCGAATCATTCGGTATTACTTATACGATTAAAACTGCTCCGATCCTCGATAAAATAATACCTGTGCAACATCTTTATTCTTTCGACCTATATTTCGACCCATCAACTTGATAAACGTCACTTTTTGAAATATGTTTTATTTTCCACTTCTGGTTTCAGCGGAAGTGTTGATAACTTTCGATTTTTAAATGGAACACCCTGTATATTATTGCATTATCGAATTCTGCATGATTTTCTAAATCAAATGATACCATATAACTGACCGAATCACTGACATTTCGAACTTCAATATTG